ACAATCACTCAAGGATAATCATCTTAATTGTTCCATTTTTTTCGAAACCTTCTTGTATTTTATGGCGTAAGGAAATTTTTTTTAAAAATATTATTACCTTGCGTGTTAAAATGGTAATCGCTTTTGATAAACTGATACGAACAATAAACACGATAATTATTTTAATAAAGAAAAAATATATGAAAGAACTCGAACAACGGAACAAGTGTGACCCTTCATTCATTTTAGTAGGTGTTCGGTTGGCTCAAAGGTTTTCATCACTGACTTATGAGAGAAACTTCATTAAACAGTAACCTTTGAAGTTAGAAGTGTTAATAATAATTATGCCATAATTCACAGTTGTAGCAGATAGAAAAAAAAAGTGTCTCACTTTTGTTAGTTGGGCATTTGGTGTTGATGAATCAATGACATTGACTGGCTGTTGCTTTCAGCAATGGTATCAATCTTTTTCACGGGAAAAAAAAATTTGTTTGGAAAAAAAATATATGTATTGCATCCTAAGCCGATTAATCTTTGTTCGCTATGTATTCAATACACATTTACAGTATGCAGTCTTATTTTATCGATATATTTATAAGACATTCACCGTCGATAATAGTTATTAATCACTATTATTATTCGCATCTTGACATACCATTATTTATCAACTGAGATTTAGCACTCAATTATGATGAGTAAGAAATGTAGTACGATATTTTTTGGTTGCTTTTCGGGGTAAGCTAGCTAGATTGGGCCCTGAATAAAATGGTTAAAGTCAATGATGGAGTTGAGAGTTGCAAAAATGAGAGACAGGCAGGATGGTTTGGTCGAAGTCTCCAGTTATAGTTATAGGCATTATAGCTGTACACCACAATTTCCATTAATGTGAACTTCCAACACCACAGTCCATCCATATTCATATTGTACTGCTTCTTTCTCATTCATGAAGGCAGCCACCAAGTTGAGAAAGAAATGCATGAATCTATGTTGTTTGGATCCTATGATTGATTGAATTGACAATTATTTGTGTTTTCATTTGTCGTACTCTATATATTTCTAAAAAAACATACACGTTAATTTACCAATATTTATTATATGTATTATATATATATATATGTGTGTATATATAAATGCGGTGTGTGTATATTTGGTGGTATCACAAGAGAAACATTGTATTACATTTTGATAAATGTACAGTCTCTAATTACAGACGGGAACGGTTACGGAATTTACACTCCATAGTCCATACAAATCTTCCCCACTTCCATCTCAATATCTCTTGATATTTATATGCAATTAGAATTTCGGATTGAAAAAAATACTCAATCTGTTTTAAAATTATTGTTCAGTTAAATTTTCATTTTTAGTGCAATTTATACTAAAAAGACGAAATTAAAACTAGACAATCATTTCGGGACGGAAAGAGTATTAATTAGATATAATTGATTAAGGTGACAAGTTATCACAAGAGCCGAATTATAGAAATAACGTAGGAAATCGTAAGGTGCTTGCCGAAATAGATACATGAGCATTATCTTTGTGATACAAGGAGAGACAGAAATTATTGAGATGAATACTCGAATAGTCAATGTGATTAAAGATCTATTAAAGCGTGATTGGATTGTAGAGATTGAACATGTGTTTACATATGCATACGTTGTAGCTAATTACTTGACGGCGTTGGTAGTACAAGGACAAGGAGATGTGCAATAGCGACAAGTTCCTTGTAATGTACAAGTTTGATTTTGGGCATTGTCACCTCTTCTACTGTAACAAACAAAAACAAAAAGGACACAGCAAAGATGAGGATTCCACCTCGGCTTAATAAGTGGGTCCAAAAAGTAACATCGACAAGCCACGTCGACAGATGACTAGGATCGGTCCCACTTGTATTATAGCCACTCATCAATCCGATGAAAAAAAGGGAAAAGGGTAGCATTTTTGGATGGGCTCGAAGCCTCATTTGGTGGGTCCTTTTTGATCCATCACAGCAGTGGCTATGATCCAATAAAAAGTTGGGGTCAAATCAGGCCTACTCGGCATTTGGGTCCTCCTAGCCATGTGAGATATTATAAGCTGAAAGGAACACCGTGACACTGTCCAAATGCAAACAACATGGCCTGTGTTGAAGTGGACAGTCTCGATCTTCAACGGTTCCACGCTTAACAATTAGATTAGTTAACCAAAATGGTTGTAGTGGAGTGGAATGGACTCCTCCATTCTTAATCATAGGTCGAGGATTTAAATCTCGCCATGAGTATAGAGCAATCTTAAATATTTTGGCCAGCTGTCTCACCCATCGAGATGCCTATAATTTAGCTAAGGGGATTAATCACTATTGCCGACGGTAGATACCCTGCAAATATGACAAGAGAAATCGTACAATGCCAAAAATGAAAGACACCCAAGACAAGAGAATAATGGCCACAAAGTAAATATGGAGCGATCTACATTCACAATTCAATAGACAACAGAATATAAACATTTTTATATTGGCCTGTGATACTATAATAAGCCATGTTGTTATAAACTGGTATCAACAATATCCAAAAACTAAAAAAGACAGTCATCGGTCAACAGATATAATTGTTTTTTTTTAAGAGGATCAAAGTAAATATTGTCGGGAACTTCGTATTCTCGAGCCAAATAAAACGATTGTTTTTTTTTTTTTTGTGTGTTGGTTTAAAGCAAAAACCATCAATTAGTAGTACTCATTTTTTAGTACCACAACAACATTCACCTCAAATATTGCACTTCTGCATAGAGTCATCACAATAAAAGTGGCGCATTCTCGAAATGTGATATTACATCTGTTCCAAAAAAAAAAAAAATCCCCATTAAGTTTATGTTTTATATTTCTTTTTCATCCAAGTGTATATGAATTCATTCCATGTATACTCCAGGTCACAAAATAGAGTTAACTCATGACTACATCATAACGGAAGTGCCACATCCTGGACATATAAGTTATAACAATCTAAACTAAGGCTTTTTGCGTTTCCTTTTCATCCAAGTATGCATGAATCATGAATGCATTCCCTACATACTCACTGGCAACGCATCTCAACATCACCTAAATTAACATGTTTTTTCAATCAAGAAAATGGGACCAAAGCCAACCATATATATATATGTATATATTATATATATATATATATTATATATATATATATTTTTTTTGTTTTTGCACTTTTGCTGAAGGCCTCAACGCAACCACCAAAATTGGCCGAACCCCACTTATCCAGATTGTCATTTGTGCTCTGTGTCCATCCACCATTAAGGGTAGCTTATAAGTCAACAACTAAAGTAAATTTGGGGTCTTCAACAAACTGTGAAACAATCCACCACTTTTTTACCAGTTCAACCATATATATATACTCCCTCCATCCTAAAATTTTGTCCAGTTTGAGATTTCACTTTTAGTACAATTTGAATTAAAAATAAAAATTCAAACTGGATAATAATTATGAGACGGAAGGAGTATATCGTAAAGGTGATTGTTTTTCACTACTCGTTCAAATACAATTCAGTGGAGTGGAGTAAGAAAATGTAATGGGTTACTAGTATGGTGACATTTATGTCATATTCTCGTTCATCTTAAAAATTAAGAGTTCGAAATAACATATGTCCGTGTTCTCTAACACCACAATAGTTTTTCCTCGTATTTACGTATTCAGCAAACTATATATATATATATATATATATATATATATATATATATTTAAAAGAAAATGGCAAGGGGTGGAGCAACGAGCTTGAACATAGGATATTATCTCCGGTTGGCCAATCCGATGCACTTTTTAATCAGTCTCGGTTGTTTGGACCACAAGTTACAACTTAAAAAAAGGCATGTGAGACAATAAATGGTCAATTTTTGGACATTTAACAAGAGAACGACTAGTTAAAACTGTCTAAAATATGGACCCTTTATTATTTGATTATTGATGTCATTTTCAGAAATATCGGACTTTTCATTACGCCTTGACTATGATGATTAAGCATTGAAAGCAATGGGACTGATTTGTTTCATGATTATATGTATAGAGAAGTTGAACTAACATTAGGTGAATTTGTCGCTGGATTTTCCAATGGAGAAGAGGATATGATCAGAGATACCACTTCAGCGTTCTTATCCTTCTTATCTATTGTCACTAATACACACACTTGATGTCTTGATCATTTTAATTAGTTTTATGCAGGAAATGGACTGCATTAATGTCACCATTTGCTTGCCTAATCTAAAAACACTGATACAACCACAGTGATTTTTTTTTATACTATTGGATAAGATCCATGTATCATCTGTTAATATTGATGTAATAAGCCAAATAACTTAAATGTTGTAACTTAACTGACAAAGTAATATGACCATCAATATTAAGAGGACCACACAATACATTCTCCATGATCTTGAATTAGGCAAGTTTAGTTCTTTTTCCTTCCTTTTGATACTTCAGGTCTAATAATAATAATTCACATGATTATTTAAGAATTGTATTATTTTCAGTATAATTTACAAATTATAACATAGACTAGTTTTGTGATACAAAGAGAAAATATATGATCATCATAATATACTCCCTCCGTCCCATAATTATTATCCAGTTTTACTAAAATGAAAGATTTTATTTGTGGTCAAACTTAACTATATTTTACCTTAAACAACCAGATATACCCCTTCATAAGTAATTGTTTAACCACTAAGATTTTATGAATAATATTTTTTACTAAGGAAAAATGTGTAATTTGATCTATAAAAAGTCAAATTGGACAATAATTTTGGGACAAAATTTTTTAGGCAAAGTGGACAATAATTATGGGACGGAGGGAGTACATGTTATTAAACATTCATTATAAGTTCATGTTGTACAACTATTATTCTCATGAATAAACCATGTCCATTAACATTCCCTTGAGTTCCTTTAATCCTAAATGTTGTAAGACACAATTAGCATTGAATTTTGTTTTAATTTGTGATTATATAAGTCAGGTGGTGGTAATCAACATGAGAGGGAAGGCCCATGAAATTGGTCTTAGGATGTGTTTGCCACAGATGCATTTTAACAAGAGTGTAGAATTTTTATTCATTTGGGTTTAGCTATATTACCCATGATATTTGGGCCTTGAATTTGGGTCCATTAAATCTCAAAAGAGAATAAACTTTTGGGGTCAAATTATGAATAATCTAAAACACAGGCCAAATTGTAAATTTTTATCAATTTTCCCTTTGCTAATCTCATTTTCCGTCTCCATTTCCCCTTTCTCTGCCAAACCCTCGGAATCTCACTCAGACGCCAACGACTTCCCAGACGTCAGCTTGTTCGAATTTCCGATTTACAGAAGGTATTTGGTCTGGTCCTCTTTTTCATTCTTTCTATTTTTTAATTTTGATTCCGATTTTGAATTTGGATCCATTCCTGCTATTCGATTTGATTGCTTAAATGTATCGCAAAAATGTGAATCTTGATTTTTCTGTTCGTTTACATAGTTGCTGATTGATGGGCTTAAGTTATTTCTTTGGTTTGCATCGTCTTTCGTAATCACTTCTTTCGATAATTGTTGACTTTTTTTTTTTCTTTAGGTTAGAATTACGGGTATAACTTCTAATATGTTCCGGAAATAAGATCAGAGAACGATAGAATTTTAGGCAGTTTTGCTTTTATTAGGTTTAGCTGTTCTGCAGATTGCATTTTATTGTCTTTAACTCTTGCTTCGGGTTTACTTACACTCAGGATATACTTTGAGGTTTATCATTGGCTTCCGAAAATTTCATTCTGGTTTAATTGTTTTTTAAAAAGGGACCTTAGATGCGGATTTAAATACCGTTTTAGTAGATTTGGTTGTAATAAACAATTTCATTTTGGTTGATTCAATTTTAACCCTCTTGGTAATAATAGTGGTTATCTTTTCTTTCTTTGACTGGTTTTATAATATAAAGCCTGTTACTGGTTGGTTTGGCTTTACAATCCTTGTTGTATGCTGCACATTTTGCACTTGAGGGCGTACTTTAGTAAAGATCGAAATGCGTTTGTCTGATGAGAACCTTTATGGGTTGTATTGTTCAGAATTTTGACTGTGTTATCTTCTGCAACTAAGTTCGATCATATGATTGTTCTCTGTTCTAATAAATTTTGTAAGTTAATTTCTAGTTGTGTTCTCTTTTTCCCTTTTTGCATGGGGAATAGAACTGCAGATGACAATAATTGGATATTTGCTAGTTAAAATATTAGGTGTATATACGCATAGATGCTCTATGTAATGAAAGCTACATAGAGTCATAGATAGAAGCTAGTTCTACTTTTTTCTTCCACTATTTCGTCACAGTTGTTTTTCTTAGAAAGTAACTTTTGTTTTGCAAGTCTTGCATTTGTTGCAAGCTGCAAATTTGGGGTTACTATGTTAGTAAGCATGTTCTCTAAGGCCTTTGTGGAATGTGGATCAAGTCCGGATTGCCAAGGTGGTAGGCATGTTGCTCGAAGTTTCAGCTTATTCTTGTAGACTTCTCCATGAACCGAGCTCATGGTGTCCTCCTCCTCTGAAACAAAAACGTTTGATTCTTTGTTTCGCAGACACGTATATGACACTGCTTATCACATTCTCTCAGTTCCTTGTAACTTATTTCTTCTAAAGATTTTTATCAACTATTGCAGGATGTCAGCAGAAGAAGCACCATTTAGGCCGAGAGAGAAGCTTCTTGAGAAGCAAAGGTTTTTCCAAAACATTCACAAGCACACGTATTTGAAGGGCCGCTTTGATATTGTCACCTCAGTTGTCATTCCTGCAGCACTTGCAGCTACCTGCACTTACATGATTGTGAGTTTTTCTCTTGACTCTTGTGAGTTAGTTTGGTTTTATTTGTGTCTCTCTCGATGGGGATACTTATGTATATCCTCTTTTGTCTTCCTAATACAATTTCAGGGGAGAGGTATCTACAATATGTCTCATGGGATCGGCAAAAAGGAATGATTATGTTTGTCTGGGTCAGGGCGTTCTATGGTAGTGTCTGAATGATGAGAAGACATCGAATGAACGATTTTGTGGTGTTTTGACTTCAAATGATAATAATGCACTGAGATTCGAACATCATTGTTTATTTTGTTTCTTGTTCTCTGTTCAAGATCTTGTTCATCTTCTAGTGTTCATCCAGATTCCAGTATCATATCTACAATCTGCTTTTGTTATTTTGTTTCTTGTTCTCTACTCAAGATCTTGTTCATCCAGATTCCAGTATCATGTCAGCAATCTACTTTTGATTCATAGCGAACCATTTCTGAAACTGCACCAGACGTTTGAGACGAGTTATTAATAGTGGTAATTAATGAGTTTCAAGCAAACAAACCAGTCAAGAAAGGGGCTTAGGTTTTTTCATTTGTTTTTGGTCTCTAAATTCAGTGAGAAGATAAACAGGCACCGATTCAACTTTCTATTTTACTGTCCAAACTCATATACAGATTCACCACTGATTCCTAGCAAACTCATTGTTGAGGTACACTTGAGAATTACTGACAAATTAAGTCTCATAGTAGAATATCACATTTATTTTCGTGATTTAGAAAACCCAAAGTAGTTGATATCGGCATATCAAAAACCCGCGTCCTTTTGAAGCAAATAGTGGCTCACACTTCATCTTCAAGGATGAAACCGGTATGCATGGTTCTAGTTCTCAACAAACGCTTTCTTTATCTGCTAATCAGTTATGCAAATAGGAAAACTAGGAAGATACTTTGAAAAAGAGGCATTGGCGTTCATGTGGATGAATTGCTAATCTGAACATGTTAATAGAATTCCAATTTCCAAATGATCCTTGCTCCCCCTTCCCCCCATGTGTGAGTGTATGTTAGGCTCATACCTTATCAAACATACTTTGACCTAAACTAGAGTGATTTTTTTTTTCATACTCCGCACGATGTTCTAAATGCATTGCAGTTAGACTAATTCGCAACGAGTTAAGTTGGTCTCCTTCCGGAAGAAAAGATCTCCTAACATTGCTCTTTTCATTCACAAGACTTAAACTCAAGACCTCGATTAAAGGAACCAAAGCACCTTACCACTTTGATCAAGTAAATGTTGGTAAACTACAGTGATTCTGAATGAAAAATCATCTTTACAAAAATTATCTAAATATAAACCTAAGATGTTTTTTCATGTCTTATTTTTTTTTTTCTAAAAAGAAAAAAAACTAAAAAGTTAAAATAATTATTTCTAATTTAAAAATCTACAATTAACCGATGAATTATTACGATTTTGAATCGGTCCTCAATCTAATATTAGAACCATAATCGAACTTTCAGTACATGGTTCGTTATGATTTTTGGAACTGTCAATTATGGTTTCGGTTACGGGATTGTACAGTACAACCTTACTAAATTAATCCTCTATAAATTTATAACTTATATTAAATAATAATTTTTACCGGTCTCAACTCGGGACCAATACAAAAAATGATAAAACTCGATTAATTTATAAAATAATAAATTTTTAAGAATCCCCTATGTAAATAAGGTCCCCACATTTTCATAAATTAATAATTATCTAAAAAAACTAATAATTTTTAGTAAAATATGAATCTATTCATCTTTGTTTTTTCTTAAAATTTATATCCATGGAAATATCATCATTGATCTTTCTCATTGTATTTAAAAGTTTCGGTGTCGCTTTGTCATATTGCAATAAAAAAATTATGAAGAGTTGTTGCCTTTAGTGCTTCTTTTTTTGGAGATTCAAAATTTGCAGCCACACAAAGAGAATACTAACACCGTATTAATAAAGTTAGAAGCCCATATTTATAAATTATAATCAACTTTTCTTTTCTTCTTGGCAAAGATTAACCTCTAGTAGCATTGATAAACTCTTTAAATTAATAATTATTAATTTATCGATAAATTAATAAATTTTTGGACCCAAAACTATTAATTTAGAGAGGGTTCAATGTATATGGTTTACCGAAACCGTGGAGCTGCATAATCAAAGGCGCTGAAGCAACCACGACTTCAAATTTTTTTCTTACGGACCACGACTTCAAATGTTTTACTGAAGACGCTAGCCGACTCTCGTCTCTCTACCAAGTACCGGGACTCTTCTTCCTTCTTTTCCCTCCTATTTTCCTCCATTAATTTTCTTAGCATCTTTTTGGTTTTCCTTTTGATTATTTTAAAAAATAGCATCCAAATTCCCAGTTCCAAATTCCAATAATCGATTTCAAAACACCGCCGAATTTTACTTCCCGGAATAATGAGCCGATACGACAGCCGCTCCGGCGACCCTGGTTCATACCGTGACCGCCGAAGGTAAAACCCTAGTTTCATTACTCTCACGTCTAGATTTCGGAAAGCTAAACATATTTCAGTGCTGTGATTTCTTAATTGATTTTTTTTTTTTTTTTTGCACTTGTGATTGTTAATTAATAGTGATTCGGGGTTCGGTGGGAGTTCGACCTACCGGGCGGCGGCGACGACGACCAGCAGGAGAGACAGTGATGGGGCGGAGTCACCTCGGAGGTTGGAATTGGATGGTTTGACTCCTTTCGAGAAGAACTTCTACGTTGAGTCGCCGTCTGTTGCTGCAATGTCCGAGGCTGATGTGGAGGACTATCGGCGTCGACGAGAAATAACTGTGGAAGGCAAGGATGTGCCTAAGCCAGTCAAGAGCTTTAAAGACGTTGGGTTTCCAGGTATATTGAGGACAGCTGCTTCATTTTTTCCTTCACGAGTCCTTTTGATTATTGATAGTGATTTTATGGATTGTGTTCAATTAGGATTCCAGATTCTAGACCTTGGGCTCATGTTTAAGTTTCCCCTGATGGCCTTATATCTAACACTTCTTCAACTTGTGTTTATGGGTTTTACTGATTACTCTTTATGAACATGAAAACGACTCTTTCATAGTCAACACTTGTCCCTCAGCTGGTAGTCTTGATGCACGAATTGGCTCATCTAAATTCCGGCGCTTCTTAATTTGGTGAAGTTTCCGGAAATCAATACATCAATGCACCAATGCATCTTGGGTCGTACTACTTAAACAGCCTCTCTGTATTGATATACAGGGGTAAGGCTGCGTGCATTATACTGGGTTGTTGTTGTTGTTGTAAGGTCTTAGTCTGAGAGAGATATGATTGCTAGGTTTACTTCTTAGTCTATTAGTGCTACTGGATTGGCTCTTCTCAGCTTTCCTTTCCTGGTTATTGTGAGCTTCTTTCTAGCTCTTATTTTGAAGTTCACTCAGATAACAACATGACTTTGGTCACGTTTATCAGGTTTTTATTTTTAACCTTTGATGTGATGGTTACAGACTATGTTATGCAAGAGATCGAAAGGGCAGGCTTTACAGAACCTACCCCAATTCAGGCTCAGGGTTGGCCTATGGCTTTGAAGGGCCGTGATCTCATTGGTATTGCAGAAACTGGATCGGGGAAAACATTGGCATATCTTCTGCCTGCCATAGTGCACGTAAATGCCCAACCGATATTAGGTATGTCTTATTTGATGAAGTCTATGAAACTGTGTTATTCTCTGTTTTATGGTTTTCAGTTCTTTTTGCTGATAAGCCATTCTTGTACATCGCGTGTTCTCTAGCTCCTGGCGACGGGCCAATTGTTTTAGTTTTAGCGCCAACTCGTGAACTTGCTGTTCAGATTCAGCAAGAAGCTACTAAATTTGGTGCATCATCGAGGATTAAGAATACATGCATTTATGGTGGTGTTCCAAAGGGACCCCAAGTTCGTGATCTTCAGAAAGGTAGGTGGAGTTAGCTCAACGTGACTTTTCTACTGTATCGTGATGTTCAAGGATCGGGTATATCCTACATCTTCTTTTTCTTGTAAATTTTCTTCAAGAACACTGTCTTTATCATTTTGCTTATGATAAACTTCATGCTTTTTTTAGGTGTTGAGATAGTTATTGCTACACCTGGAAGGTTGATTGATATGTTGGAATCTCATAACACAAATTTACGAAGGGTTACATACCTTGTGCTCGATGAAGCAGATCGGATGTTGGACATGGGTTTTGAACCTCAGATCCGGAAAATTATTAATCAGGTTGCTTTCTTAACTCCTCATATAATATATGTGTTTACTGATTAGTTTGAGTGGATTGTGGGGTCTACCCTACTTTGTTACCCTTATTCGTCAAGTTCTTTTAATTTAAGTTGAGGTTTTAGAGGAATCAGTTCATCGGTTCGATCTTTAAAAGCATTCAGTTGGGCATCTTCCAAACATTTCATATCCTTATGGTATCTTAGATTGTTCATGAATAACACATATCATTGACTACGAGTTATTGATATCAAACTTGCTTACCACTCCTGATTATTTGCGTGCTACATTTTTACTCTGAGCTTGCCACTACAGAACTGCGCAACTTTGAACCTTTGAGTATCTAGATGCTGGCTCATCTTATAATACCTTATCTTGATACTTAGTGCATCAGAGATTTGCTGCGGATTCCATTTGTTCAAACATTCTATAATATTGTATGTTTTGAAGTTCAGAGATAGTTAAGCTTCTGTCAGTTATTAAGACTTCTCCTTTATATCTTGAAAATGATTTCTGTTTTTTGTACATGATAGCAATCTGTTTCTTTTTTTTTCTTTTGCATTACAACTAAATGCTTCATGGAAATTTGCAGATACGGCCAGATCGTCAGACTCTTTATTGGAGTGCAACATGGCCAAAAGAGGTGGAACATCTTGCGAGGCAATTTCTTTTCAATCCATACAAAGTAAGTATCTTGCTAGAGGAACATAATGGCTTATTATATGTTGGCTGATAGTTTGTTACATTTCTCTTTCTGTGAATGTGTCTGCTTGTATAAAATTAATAAGTGATGTTTTATACTTTGATATACGTAATGAATTGTCATTTAGTGTTTTTCACTCCTCATTTCGAGCTGTTATTTTGTCTGGATTTTTAGGGTTTCCACTTCTCTGCTGACTACTATGGAGTTTTTGCTGTCTTGAAAATTTATTAGTATTTAAGCCTTGGATTGTATGAGATGCATCACGTATATTTCATCCTACCCATTTTGCAGGTGATTATAGGTTCGGCTGATTTGAAGGCGAATCATGCTATCCGTCAACATGTTGAAATTGTTTCTGAGAGTCAGAAATATAATAAGTAAGCTGATAATTTACATGCTGATTTTTTCTCTTTCTCTTTCCTGCAGCTTGGCCTTTTTACATCCTTTATTGTGATATCTTTGTTATGTTCATTTGCTTATGCTTGATTCCAGATTGGTGAAGTTGCTGGAAGATATCATGGATGGCAGCCGAATATTGATATTTATGGACACAAAAAAAGGATGTGATCAAGTCACTCGGCAGCTTCGAATGGATGGCTGGCCTGCACTATCTATTCATGGAGACAAGAGTCAAGCAGAAAGAGACTGGGTTCTATCTGAATTTAAAGCTGGAAAGAGTCCCATAATGACAGCAACAGATGTAGCTGCTCGAGGCCTAGGTATGCTTACCATTGTCAAGTTTTTCTTCAACATTATATTGATGCAAAACTTGTTTTTCATGTTGCTTGCAATTGGTATTGTTGTAGATGTGAAGGATGTAAAATATGTCGTCAACTACGACTTTCCTGGATCTCTTGAGGATTATGTTCATCGGATTGGACGAACTGGTCGTGCTGGGGCCAAGGGTACAGCATACACTTTCTTTACCGCTGCCAATGCGAGATTTGCCAAGGACCTTATTAACATCCTTCAGGAGGCTGGACAGAAAGTTAGCCCAGAGCTGGCCTCCATGGGACGGGGTGCACCCCCTCCTCCAGGTTTGTGCTGAGATCATCGTGTTTTCTCTCCGGAAATGTTTTTATTTATGGGTTGTCGTAGTGTTTTGTTTTGTATCCTGCATCATTGACTGATTGTTGCTTGATAATTTTGCATTTAACAGCTCATGGCAGTTTCCGAGACCGGGGTAGAGGCTACAGTGGCGGTCGTTCCTGGAGCTAAGGACATTCAATCATTTCAAGGGAAATAATGCAAGAAGTGATTACTATGTAGCATGCATGACTTGTCCTGGTTTCCCATTTGTATCATTTAGGAAGACACAACTCATAAGGGATTATCTAGTAATGTGTTTTCTCACTAGGATTTGGTCCTTTCAAAACGAATTAGCCATGTACAATGTAGAGTTGTAGTAACATTCTTGCTGGATCATTTGGGGTCCATAATTCTCCTAATGTTGTAGTATTTCTGTGCTTTTTTATTGAGCTCAAGCCAATATAACATTCTTTCAAAGTTTAAGCTTTAGGCAAACTTTGTGTCTCAGGTAAATTCATTAACTGGCCAAGTGTAATGTGGTTGATTTTCAATCTCAAACTTTGTCGTCAAACCATGTATCTCATCATAAATTGTTGCTGTACAATTTCCCTGGGAGACGTTTGATTCAAGTTCATCTCTATTCTTCTATCAGAAAAAACGAACTGGAAATAGGCGATTCACGATTGTCACTGAATCCAACTTTTTAGCCTTTGGAGGGGAACAAAATCGAGCCCATTTAACCAAATTTGGGCTTCCAATTTAACTAGGCTTATCTGGCGTATGACTGATCCGTAACTTTCGGGCCAAGTTCCGGCTGTCTGTCAGTCAAACGTGGGAGCCCCATCTTTAAACCTCAGCAAATCAGAGTACTCAAGGAAGACGAAGAACAGCTAAAAAATAAAAAAATAAAAAAATTGATTGAAGCACAAGATCACCGTTGGAATGGGTAATGGTACTGAAGGTCCGAAACTCTTCGTCAACAAACCCAAGAAGGGTAAAATCGTTTTTCTATATCATTACCCCTTCAATCATTATCTAATTTTGCTGGGGTTTTTTTTTTTAAATATTTGATTTACTTGCAACTTTATGATTGATTGATACAACTCACGAGATTCCATCCCTTGTTCTTTAGCTCTTTATTATGTGGTCGTTTGTTTGATTCTACTGTTAAACAGGGCAGTTGAAGAAGGTTGAGCATCAGCAGCAACCCTCCTCATCGATGGCGTCGTCAGCTCCACCACCAGGGTCAGCAGCTGCGGCGGCGGCTCCCTCACCTCGGCCACCCAAGGAATCTTTCCTCCGACGCTACAAGTTCGTTGTGCCTCTTCTCTTGGCCGTCAATTTATCCGTCGGAGGTAATCACTGCTGCTCTATCATTTGGTGGAAATTATTGATCGCTTTTTTACATTTCCTAGGGTCAGTTTTGGATCTTAATTTCCTATGCTGTGTTTAGGTTGGAATTTGGTGGTTCAAGGGTTCGGTCATCTGCCTTCTCTCTTGAAAATGTTTGGTTTCTGGGAAATATTTTTGGGGACTGTCTAAGCGCTTCACTGATGAAAGTTTTGTTAGTGGTTTAATTGATCATCATATACGCCTCGAGATTTAAATAAATGTTAGACCTTGGAAATCCTCCTGATTCTTTACTTTCTTACTATTCCATTGTCTGTTTGTTATTCTGGAAATATCGAATATTTCTGAGCTTTTTGGTCCCGACCTACTACATGTATCTGGCTCCTCTGATTTTTTTTCCATATGGAATTTGGAACATGATGCATCACTAATGGATCTTAAACATGTTATCACTTTTGGAATTTTGACAACTTCAATCTTTTTTTTAGAGGTATTTTCTAGAGTATCTGTTCACAGTACCTCTGCAAGACTGATCTTCTATTGTTCTTGTTGAAAGGATCCGCATCTGGATGGAATTATAGTTCATAATTGGCTTCTGTTATGCAGTAAACTCTATTGAAGTATGATCATGCTTATTAGATACAACTAATTTTATGGTTAATAATAGCTTCCTGTTGAACAGTGTCATAAAGAGTAGTTGGTGCAGTTAGGTGTAAGCTTCACCATGTATTGTTATACTGTTTAACTTTGAAAATGATATTGATCACATATCTCAGGCTTAAAATAGTAAGCAGCAGAGGTTCTGTAATGCATCCCTTCATGAGTTTTCTCATCTCGTTATATGAAGATGGACGGACATGTAGCTATCTTTTCGTAGGTGCTGATTATGAATCTGTTTTGGTTTGGAAAGTATATTAGATTAGCACCACCCACTTTCTAGTTTGGTCAGACCACTTTTGTGCTTTTAATTTCCTTCCAGGGTTGTTTTGTGCATCCAGCAATGTGTTCACAGTTCAGTACTTATTGAACACTGGTTATAATATCATCCTGCAACTCACTCTTTTTTGCTTCTCACCTAATGCCATTACATTTGTAGAGCTTGTTACTTGAAAGTTGGGACTTGAAACTGAAACCCTCATTCTCATCATTAGCCTTTTTTTTGTCCATTTGGTGTGAATTGTTTGACTGATTTCATTCTTGTTGTGTCCAGCTTATCTTTTTATGAGGACAAAGAAGAAAGATGTAGTAGTAGACGAGAAAGAAGTGCCTAATGTTCCTTCAGCACGTGCATCAACTAGTATACCAAATGCTACAGTTACTGAGAAGCCGGCACCTGTTGTTGCTTTGACTTCAGCAGTTGTTACACCTCCAAAGCCACGTGAACCAATACCCGAGAATGAGCAACGAGAGCTGTTCAAGTGGTTATTAGAAGAGAAGAGAAAACTGAAGCCAATTGATTCTGCAGAGAAGAAACGTATCGATGAGGAAAAAGCCATTCTGAAAGAGTTCATTCGAGCCAAATCGATCCCAAGTTTGTAAATATACATTACAGAATGTGACATCGTTTAAATTTCACAGCTTTTAGTCCTTTCTAGATGATGACAATTTCTTTGTTTTGTGAATGTGGTAGGTAAGTTGGAAGTAACACTCTTTTCAGATTCTGTTTCTCTATTGGTTTTAAAATCAGTTTACCATCCGATGCACTAGTATCAACCAACAGTTCGGCTCTCACTTCTGATAAACATTCTGTCGAAATCTAAACGAAAAGTGGCAGAAAAGACATTTTTCCTCTCTTTAGTAAACGAAAATTCTTGATTCACTAGCCATACAATTTAACGATTATAACGTCTCAAACTCAATCTGTACTGAAAACATAAAAATACAGACAGCAGAATCAACAAGTCAAATGATCCTTTTAATGGGGGTTTCTACTGATGCTGTTGTCATATTTCCTTGAAGAGAATTCCCAATCTTTACACATGTAGCTCCAATCAGACACATTCAGCTGCCAACATACTTCTTCATCCTTCCTGAATTAATGCAACGATCTTTGCCTTTGCAATTTTTCCTAGTTTTGAAAGTTTCCATGCACTGTAATCATTAGCGAAACGTTAGCCAAATCTTGATTTAAACAAGCAGGGGATCTACTGCATTACAAGTACCTGCAAAACCTCAAACCATGCAGATTACCAAAGAGAGTAGTTCACCTGGAAGATGTGGTTGAAAGATCACCCTTCATATGGACCAGTGGCCTCATCATCTTTGGCAAATGACATCACCGAAGATCCATATCTTCAGAAAACCACATAACTTATAAAGTCAAAACATAGTGATAGTGATATGGAACTTTGATTTGGAAACTTTACTCCCTGACTGAACTGATTAACCACATAAAAACCCTCACCTTTTCCTTGTATGGATCCAGGACATGTCACGACTTCATAACTTCCTGCAGCAGCATTATATTTTAGATTGTCTCTTGAGAGAACCTGAAGGAAACAAAGAATGAAACAACCAAGGATCACATAGGCAGTCAAGACGTTTTCAGTATTGCTGTAATCTATTAATCATCAAGTACATACCTTCTCACTGACAAACATTTTCATTGACAAAAGCTAACAATAATCATCGTTCTGGCACACATGGGCCAGAGCTTCTAATGGCGCACTGGTATTCAAACTCAACATCTGAAACATTTTTGTCCACTGCAAAACATTCTCATGGCCATATTTGAAGCATGAAAGTTGGTTGTGTATCAAAACTGTAGCATTCAGCAACTCCAGATAATACATGTGCCTAGCGTATCAAGTTTGTCGAACTCCAAAGCGTTCCACAGAAGTGAAACATGAGGTCAAGGTGAAAATCACCAAAACTCACCACAGGAGCATAATCCTCCTTTGAAGTGGTGAAATCTAGTTGAATCCCTGACAATGATTTCTCTACACTCAATCTCTGATATCAACTTAATCACATTATGGCAGTCACCACAGACTCTAAGATTTTTAAAGATCTGGATTGTACTGCCTGGTGGCATGACAATCAATCCAAAAGCGATGGCCAACCTTTCACTATGTTGTGAAAGGATGGTCTCTTTGTGTTCATCCTCGACATCATGAAGAACAGAATTAGTATCTGGTTGGTACCCTTTCTCCTTCAACCAAATACTTACCTCATCTAGTTTCATATAAATCTGGTCTGACATGGGATGTGATACATCTCCAGCCATGAACGAGTATGTCTTGTTCTTAAACTCGATCCAGCTAAAACCAGTTTCCTTTTTAACTTTTCTCACATCCATTAACTTCCTTATTTTTGCTCTCTCCTTCCAATTTTTAGTAGAAGCATATAGGTTTGATAGCAGGACATAACCCGAAGAGTCTTGTGGTTCAAGAGAAATGAGTTTTCTCGCTGCAAATTTCCCCATCTCTATATTTCGATGAACTCGACATGCAGCCAAAAGTGTACGCCACACAGTTCCACCAGCAGGGAAGGGCATCGCATTAATAAGATCCACAGCTTTTTCTAACATTCCAGCCCGACTGTACAAGTCAACCATGCAGGAATAGATCTCCATTGTCGGTAAAATCTGAAGATCATTAATCATCATGTCAAAATATCTTTCACCTTCTTTCACCAGTCCTACATGAGTACAGGCAGAAATAATGCCGATAAATGTTACACTATCCATTGCCATATTTTTCATCCTCATTTCCTCAAATACCATAAGAGCTTTCTTCCCATAACCATGCTGAGCATATCCAGTAATCATCGAATTCCATGACACTAAATCCCTCACTTGTTGTCTCTTAAACACCGCATCTGCACTCTCTATATTTCCTCTTTTCGCATACATTGTCACTAGAGCACTACTGACACATAAAGCATTACTGTATCCTGTTTTTATAGAACTCGCATGAAACTGTTTCCCTTGCTCAGCTGTTGCTGTCGGTGCATTACATGCATCGATCACACTTGAAAATGTGTATTCATTTGGTCGAACCCCTTCTCTTGCTAATTGCTGGAAAACATTAACAGCACCCTCAATGTTTTCTGCTTGAGCATAACCAGCCAACATGGCAGACCATGCAACAATGTCTTTCTCTTCAATCATTTCAAATACTTTTGCAGCCTCTTTAATGCTTGCTGTTTTAACATAAGCATCTAATAATGCAGTTCCTACTGTTGGTGAGGTCTCGTAGTTGGTTTTGATGACTTCTGCATGTATTTGATATGGAGAAATTTTAGGATGTGCAGACAGGATGGTAGAATAAGTGAAATGGTTGGGTGAAATACTTTTCCTTCTCATTTGGCTAAAAAGTGCCACAGCTTGATCCTTCCCTCCATTCTGCAAGAAGCCACTAATCATTGCGGTCCAAGATACTACATTCTGGCTTTGATGCATAGGGCTGAATATTTGAAAGGCATCATCCATTTGACTGCACTTTGTGTACGAGACCATAAGAGCTGTCCTTATGTTATGGTCAAAGTCAAATCCATGGCGAACAGCCCGTGCATGAAGCTGTCTTGCCAGGGTCAATGCTTTCAGGTTTGCACATAACTTTATGACTGTCAAAAAACTCATTTGAGTAAGCTTCACCCCAGAAAGCCTCATTTGATAAAACATATCAAGAGCTTCCAAATCATGCCCATTTGTCACAAGACCAGCAATCATCCCGTTCCAAGAAACAGTATTGCGGTTCTTCAAACCATTAAAAATGCGGCTAGCTTCTCTGGCCATTCGGGATTTCGAATACATATTAATCAATGCATTTGCTACAAAAATAGTAGACGCGAACCCTTTCTTAACAATCACCGCATGAATCTGAGCTCCCTTCTCAATAGCACCATCTTCAGCTAGAGCTCCTAGAATGGCGGAGAAAGTACAAGGATTGGGTTTGATTCCATCCATCCACATCTTCCTGAAAACCTCTATGGCTCTATCAATCAGCTTATTACTGGCGAAACCAGTGAGCAAAGAAGTCCATGAAACAATATTCTTCTCTCCCATCTCATGAAACACACGCTCCCCGTCATAAATGTTCTCCGTCTTCATGTACATATCAACAAGTGAAGTGCCAACACTAACATCGGAAAAGAACCCAGATTTAAAGCATTGGCAATGCACTTGCCGTCCCGCTAATACATCAAACAAGCACCCACAGACCTTTAACACAGAAGAAAAGCTCGACCCGTCCATCCAAACACCCGTTTGATGCATGTACTTGAAATGATTTAACGCTTCTAAGTTACAGTCGTTGCGAGAGTACTCAAACAGCAAATGGTTATAATGCGAAGTATCCTTCTGGGGACTTCTCTCGAACAAATTGTGTGCATTGTCTGAATTGGAAATTTCCAAGGCATCTCTCTTCGTTGTAAGTACTTCAGTATCAAGGGCTACAGCTTCCGATTGGCAGGAATAATGGGTTCTGGCTGGAGTTTGAAAATGTCGGAGAAATCTGAATCCTCTCGAAGAGGATCGTACACTCATGGTGTTTTTCGTTTTGAAAGGTTACCGTTTGTATGGCTTCAAAAAGGCGCCAAATGGATCTGCGGCGACTTTCAATTCATCCAGCAAACAAACTATGGTTCGAGACCAAGCCCAAGCCCAAGCATAAGCCCCATGTAAACTTTGGTCCTGCTTAGCTGTATTTGGATTTAATATTTTTGTCTGTCTCGTTCTATTACCCAGTTTAATTTTTCCTTCCCTATAGAGAATACTACTCAGCTTAATCAAATTCATATGTAAGTCGCATTAGCACATTATCCTCTGCGACACTTTTTTGTAACACTCACAATGTTATATTCCAATTACTACGTATAAATTATATAATTTGTGTTAATACATATATCATAATAATATATATTCAATGTAGATAATTCCCATATTCTTATTTTATTTTTTATATTAATGTTTTATTTTTTATGAAATCTGACTATTTTTATTGAAAGTTTTTAACTATAAAAATTAAAATAAATAATTCCTAACTCGAAAAAAGTGAACTCTTAGTCCTAAAATATATATATTCGAAAGTGATTGTGAATAGTATATGTATTGTCATAGATATATAATTTATACGAATTAATTAGAGTGTGTCACAGTGAGTGTCACAAAAAAGTGTCCCTTAATGCACAATTTTTTTAACAAGTAAAAAAAATTAATTTCTTAAAAAACATTACATAAATATGAAAATAAATTGGGAAGTAAGAGAGCAAGTAAAAAGAAGAAAAAAAAAAAAGTACTGTGGAGAATAATAATAGCAAATGTCACACCAGAGTGATAATCATACTCACTTTGTTGTACTGTTTTAATTCAAGAAAATATTTTTATTTTTTTTCACGAGGCCGGAATACATACTAATAACTCAATTTGGCATTTTTGACTTTTAACCTATTTTTTAATTTTGAATTTGAAGAAAAGATGTAGAAAACAAAGGGTATGGACGATATTTGTAATGTCTCTCTATCAAACCAGAATGAAGAAAGAAAATGACAGAAGAAGAAGAAGAAGAAGCACAGTTTCCTATGAAGATATGGACACCACTATTCACTAAACCCTTTCATCGACGAATTAAATTAGCAAAGATCAAAGAGGGATGATGAAGAATTTGACGCAATGATTACACAAGATACAAAGTATTGAATTGTAATTTGTAACTAAAGCAAAAAAAAAAAAAGAAGGAAAAAATGGTTGTGCATTGAACTTGAAACAAACTAAAAGGCGATTAATGAATCAATTTAATCAAAAGGTACAAAGAATAATTTAGCCACCATATGATATGTGTATAGGCATCGAAAATCTTCATATATTTTATGTTTTGATTGATTGACATATGAAGTCACCAAAAAAAAAAGAAAAAAAGAAAAATCAAAGATCCGCTGAAAGCCATTCATTCCTAAACTGTGCATATAATCATCATAATCAGCGTCCAATCAGAAAAAGAAAGTAAGGATGGCGGTTTCTGATTATTTTAGTATTTCTCCTACGCCGTTTGGGCTCTTCTCCCTATCTTGTTAATTACTTTGTCTATTTTTTTCCCCCTTAATTTATCGAAGTCTTTCATCTAATTCGTTGATGTCAATTGCAACCCTATAAGTAAAACGGTTAAAATTACACTTAAATGCATTTAAGACAACTTACCGTCTGAAATTGTTGTTCAGGTTAAATTTTTAATTTTAATACCAATTGAACTAAAAGTAAAAATTCAAACTGGACAATAATTTTAAGAAAAAAAATATATGTTAATATGTTTTATACATACATATTGTTTTGGCTATGAATTACGTACAAGAAAACAGAAAATGAGGCGGATCTAAAATTTAGTAATTGAAGCTCACACACAAGTAGATGGATTGGAGGATATTAAGTTATTAACCATTAAAGTGGTGATGCTATGCTTTGGTAGGATGAATAGGAGTATGGGAATGGAAAAAAGTAAGTTAAATATGATGATATGATTTGGGTGGGAGAGAAAGAACGAATTAAAAATTAAAAGGACAAGAACAAAAGTTGAGGGCCTTGAGAAGCAGATGAAATTATGATGAATTTCTTGAATTACAATATTTTCCACATGAATGCATGATCATAATTTAGTTTAACATATTGGTGATGGACCCTTTCGTTGGCCTCCCCGACCCATCGGGTTCTAATTTACATAGATCGAGCTACCATTCCTCGAGAAAGAGTTTGTCCAAGTACCACATTGTAGCTAGTTAGCATATTCTATAAGCAGATATATCTCATATACTCTTTCTGTCCAAAAATAATGTAATTCATTCTGAGTTTTAAGATTTATATTAATTTTAATATAATTCAATGAACTAAAAGAGTTTTAAGATTCACTGAAAATTCAATGAATTAAATTTGAAAATTCAATGTAATTTTTATCGAAAAAAGTATGTTATATAATATGAAAACATTTTTTTTTCTAACACAATACAAAAAAACGGCGCTTAATATAACCGAAAGCAACTTTAAATAACACAGGCAAACTAATCTAACCTTAAGTACACCAGAATCGATTTCCGAATTGTACAACTTTAGGTTAATTAAAAGTACATATGAACGATGCAATGTATACGTGTGCATCCCTTTCAGTTAGAAGTACTTGATTGAGTCAAACCTTATCATTGGTCATATTCTTAACTTAATTATAGAACTAGATGCTTGGTCCGGGCATCTGCTCGGACGCCCCCTTTACTTTAATTTTGTGTAAATAGATAAATGAATTCTTAATTTGGAAAAAATAAAATAGCTACACATTTGTTTTTTTTTTTTTCCCTTTTTTAGCCAAAAATAAAAATAAACATAAAAATAAAAAAAAATCATGTGTAAAAGGAGAAAAAAATATTATAATCATACAAAAGAATGTGGAGTAATAAAGGGGATAAGTTTATGGTCAAATTTAAATACTATCTTAATTTGATTGATAAATGATAAATGTTAGGAGTTAAAATTGTATAGCTATTTTTGTAAAGTAGTTTTTGTTTCTTCGGATAAGAAGTTTTTTTTTTCTTTTAAAAAGGGATGACACGTGGCAAAATGATTAATGCAATATGGTGCATTTGGAGCCAAAAAATTTTAATCAGAAGTTGCCACATCAACATCCTGTATTCTGTTTTAATAGGGTAAAAAGGGACGTTGCTAAGTTACGTTTTGGATCGGAGATCACAATCTAGGGAAGTATGGTGTACTCAACCGCAATTAGTATATATAGAAGAATATTATCCAGACATAGGCCCCGATATCTTAATTTGCCGTCTGGAACTCCGGGTACTATTTTTGGGCGGTACCCTTTTGCAATTTAAAGTTTGATTCAATCATGAAGGTAGTCATTTGTAATCATGCACACACATGGGGGTCATCATGCGAGTTTTTCAGACGATCCAAATCAATATTTTTATGGACCCTCTTTCTTGTTAATACAGGTTCTACACAAACTTTGCCGATCTTAATTAATAAGATATGAAATCAATTCTTATACAAGATTACAAATGATAAACTTTGGTGATGAAAATTTAAATATGTTACTTGTTTTTTTTTTTTTTTTTTAAAAAAGATCCCTGTTTGATACAAAATTAGTGCTTAATTTTGAATGTTTAATACTGAATCAGAAATACTAAATCCATTAAGCAGATAAGGAATAAGCAATAAACTAACTTTTATTACTTATATTTTGTACTACAATTAGTTAACTGAATAAGCAATAAGCTAACTGAATCAGCACCACTTATTTCATTAAGAGGTTCATTTTTATTATCAAACATGCTGAAATGAAAAAAAATACTTAATCCAATAATTTTAAGCATTAATTGACTTTATCAAATAAGCTCATTCATAAAATATCCTGATTGAATTAGGAGCTCAGCACATTGAGCGGATGTTGCAAATGACATATATAATCTATTGTTTATTATCTGACTATTCTGATTAGTGAGGAATATGTCGCTCAAATAGGGCTCGATTAAAGTTATAGCAATTTGCATGATTCTTATGTTTCTCCGCCTAATATTCTTCGGATCGGCTTTTTGGGAGCTCAAAGCTGATAAAAACATACGTTAATTCAATTCCGTCGAATCAGTTTATTTTTTAAAAAATAAAATATAAAAAATTGGAAAGGCTAGCTAATGACCGATGGAAATTTTATTTGCTTGCATGCCATCCTAAATTGTTCTTTGAATAATGTGAAATTAGTGAAACTGTGTGCTGTTCTTGGGAGAGTCGATCACGAACACAAACAAGATTCTCAAATCGTTACGTTAATTATACATCAATTTGTTATCAAACCAACAATAAACTACTCTTTTGGACAGAATGTTTCAATTATTGAAAGTACTGCTCTAAACTAGTCCTAAATAATAGTGGTCCAGCATTTCATGATCAACAAAGAATACATAATATATATGCAACCTCGAGAGAACATCTGGTGAGTCATTGTCGTAGTTTTTCTTCCAAATAATACTCCTTCTGTCCCAAAATTATTGTTTATATTGAGATTACACTTTTAATACAATTTAAACTAAAAATAAAAACACAAACTGGACAATAATTATGGGACGAAGGGAGTACATAAAATCAAGATAATTGCATTCTAACTTATTCTCATTCACCTCGCGTCTTTACTTTTATTATATGCTGTAGATTTAATCTACATCTATACCTACTTAACTGTATACGTTATCATTATCTATCTAGCTAGTCAGATACCACGTATATTTATTTTCTTTCTTATAAAATAAGTTGCTTTTTTTTTTTTTAATAAAGTATGGACTATTTTTTCTTTGGTATGTTTGGTTCGTTTTTTCATTAGTTTTTTTTCAGAATTTTTAATTAATATCTGTTCCATCCATCATACTTTTTTACATTCTCAATGCACTTTTTTACATTTTCAATATACCTTTTTGCATTCCCAATATGAAAAAACACACTCAAAAAACGATCCAAACATAGTTGAATTACTCCCTCCGGTCCTTAATATAAGGCATTTTGATATGTCCTGAGTTTCACTTAATATGCATTTTTAATAAACCAAAAAACCTTAACAATGTTTCCTAGCAATCAAGAAAACACAACGAATGTGAACATATATTTTTAAGGTTTTCCGTCAATTAAAAATCCATACTAGGTGAAACATAAGACAAATCAAAATGTCTTATATTAAGGACCGGATGGAGTATTAAATTAAAAAAATAATCATATAACTATAAAATCTTTCTGGTACACCAGCATTATTAGCTCTTTTAATCACTAGCACAAATTATATAAATGCCTATTTAATAAGCGAAAAAGTACTTTAAGTACTTGAAAGTTGAAACTCTTACACAAAACTACTTATAGTTGCTCGAGGGAAAGGCAACCAAAACTATATCCAAATCATGGACATAATTTGTGAATTGATCACTTGGCTAGCCACAGCACTTCTCCTCGCTTCCGCCATTATTATCTGCAGGAAACTCATCATCAACACCACTAAACTCAAACTCAACCTCATTCTATCAACTTACAAAAGCCGCAGCACTTCATCAAGTATTACTACTACTACTACTCCTTCTTCTTCTTCTTCTTCTAGTCGGCTCCCTTTGGGAACTTTTGGATGGCCATTTCTTGGAGAAACCCTAGACTTCATTTCTTGTGCTTATTCAGACCGACCCGAAAGCTTCATGGACAAACGTCGTATCATGTAAGTTTTTTTTTTTTGAAAAAAAAACGGTACCTGTATTAGATTAGGAAAATAAGATACCTGAATTATTACTTACATGTCATGCAAGTAGTCATTTATAGGTTATATATATTCGTCTCAAAATAATAGTCTTTTTTTTCTAATAATTAATTTGAGTGGTTTTTTTGGGGTGTTTTAGGTATGGGAAAGTGTTCAAATCACATATATTTGGGAGCCCGGCTATAGTTTCGACGGATGCAGACGTGAGTAGAAGTATTCTTCAAAGTGATGGGAGAATATTTGTGCCTTGTTACCCAAAATCTGTGACTGAACTAATGGGGAAATCCTCTATCTTGCTCATTAGTGGAAGCTTGCAGAGGAGAATTCATGGCTTGATTGGATCTTTCTGCAAGTCAGCAACTCTAAAGCAGCAAATTACTCGCAATATGCAAAAATATGTTCAGGAATCCATGAGCAAATGGGAAGAGGATCGTCCCATTTACATTCAAGACGAAGCCAAAAATGTCAATTTCTCTCTCTCAATCTTTTAATTTCTTCCTTTTTATTTTTTTTGGGCTTATTTCAATATTTTGTCTTTGTTTCTCTTTTTCTCAAGAAACAAGGGGAAAAAAGTGTTACGTTTCTATACGTAAATTTGAATACTCGAGTTTTAAAATAATCGCATGAGATATCATATTGCAAGTCACGTCATACATAGTTCAATCCAGCTTACTCTCGTTGAAGAATATTTGCACTAGCTTGTTAACTTTGAGTTAATCATGATGCCACCAAAAAACGAGAACCATTGTAATGATTGTGTCTCAATCTGTTTTTTTCTCTCGAGTTTGTTGTGTGACTATGTGAGTTCTCACTTTGTTTTATTTAATTAAACTTGTCATTCCTTTCTAAATTCTCTTTTTCCGTATTTTCAGATTGCTTTTAGAGTGTTGGTCAAGGCATTGATTAGCTTGGGTCCTGGTCAAGAAATGGAGTTTCTACAAAACCAATTCCAGGAATTCATAGCCGGCCTAATGTCTTTGCCTATAAAACTCCCTGGAAGTCAACTTTACCGATCACTCCAGGTAAAATATTAATCTTGCACTAATACGAATTTAGTACACATGGGGATGGGACCCTTTGACTAATTGCTTTTCTGTGTCACTTTTGTATTACTGTCTAAAAAATGACCTCTTAATATTATCGGGGTAATACACCCGAGAAATGTAATCGTTTAGGAACGTTATTCTCCCTCTTGAATAAAAAAAAAAAAAGACCTCATTATAATAGTATTTGTATTCTTCTTTTGATGAATTAGGCTAGGAAGAGAATGGTTAAGTTTATTCAGAGAATAATTCAAGAGAAAAGAAGTAGCAATAATGCTAATTCAGTTCCAAAGGACGTAGCAGAAGTTTTGCTAGGCGATGGAAGCCAGCAGCTAAGTGATGATTTAATATCGGACAACATCATTGACCTGATGATACCAGGAGAAGATTCCGTCCCAATCCTAATGACTTTGGCCATTAAATTCCTTTCAGATTGTCCTTCCGCCCTCCAACAATTAACTGTGAGTATTCTTTTCGTCCCAAAATACGAGTTATACAGGAGACTATTTTGTTGTATCATTTTGACAGTTTTTATAAGTTTTACCAACAACAATACATCATCATTCCAGCGTAATTTGTCACGATGTGCCCTTTTTGCCTTTTGCCATCTTTACTCATTAGGAACATGTGCATGGAATTTGGGTTAATCTGTAGTTAATCATTTCACTTCTCATTTTTACACAAAGTTACTTTTTACGTCCACAGGAGGAGAACATGAAGTTGACAAGACATAAAGAAAAACTGGAAGAACCCTTGACTTCGAGTGATTATTTATCTCTCTCTTTCACCCAAAATGTAAGTTTGTAAAATGTTTATTAGTCTTCTTAATGATTTTTTATTTTTTTTCTTTTGTGGGGGGGGATAAGAAAACAGGAAAACTAATGTTTTTAATGCATTAATGCAATAATTAGTGAGTGATATTGTAGGTGATCACGGAAACTCTGCGACTTGGAAATATAATAATAGGAGTAATAAGGAAAGCTACAAAGGACGTGGAGATTAAAGGTCATTTCATACCGAAAGGGTGGTGTGTTCTTACATATTTCAGATCCATTCATCTTGATCCCGATCTCTACGATTCTCCCTACCAATTCAATCCCTGGCGATGGCAAGTAAGACTACTAATTACATCATAAATTGATTTCAATGTGACAATTAAGTGATTTACCATATGATATCAATTTGCAGGAAAGGGACACAAATAGTTGTAGTTTCACTCCATTTGGAGGTGGGCAAAGGTTGTGTCCGGGGCTTGACCTTGCTAGGCTTGAAGCTTCGATCTTCCTTCACCATCTTGTTACGCAATTTAGGTATCGTTTGCATAATTACGTTATAAGCAAGTGAGGAAATAATCAGATCGTATTTTGTATTATCTGCTAAAATTGTACCAAATAATATATGTTGCAGGTGGGTGGCTGAGGATGATTCAATAATCAATTTTCCAACAGTAAGAATGAAGAAGAGAATGCCAGTGTGGATCAAAAGGAGAAGGAGGAGACACAATTCTTCATCATCAAATTAAAGTAAAATCAGGAAGGGGATAGCTTTTGGTTGGTTTTTAATACGAGTTTTACCCAATTTGTCGGTCACAGTAAAAGAGGTAGCTAGTTCTGTTTTGACTGAGGAGTCTAAGCAGAAAAATACTGGGCAAATTTCTCTCGAAAAAGAAAGAAGAAAAAGTATTAGGTAAAATGCAACCACTATAATACTCCTAATTAGCTGCAGCCAAAGAAGACAATGTAATGAAAAGGTCTGAAATGACTCTTGCTTTCGCAATGGCACTCGTGTGGTGTAGGCCATTGAAAGTTTGAAACTATAAAGCTTTTGACATCTTCATCTTCCTCTTTTCATACACTTTTTCTTTTCCCCCTTTTGTGTACACAAAATTTTTAGGATCTATACTTTGTAATAGCGTCAAATAGAAAAAGATTACTTTATCCCAATTAAATGAGTTTAACTATATGAACCAATAGACGAACTATATGTATTGAATTGTACCACCATTTTTTCTGTTAGATAATATACTTAAATACAATAAAAATTTATGAAACTTACAATTTTTCCCTTAAAAAAGTAGGGTAAATATATGGAAAGATAAGATCAATAAATACATAGTTACAAAGTAAAAAAAAAAAAAAAAAAAAGAACGTTGTATACCTTGCGTCGACTTTGTGGTCGACTACTACAAGTCGAAGATTTTGTCAACGCTAATATTTTGTATAGAGTTCGTATTTAGCAAACACAATTTCTTTGTAGTTTACAAAAAAAATTTGATTGCATCAACTATTCTATTGACGTTTATGAAACCAATAATAAAGTCGACAAAATTAGTTTTATTTTTCTTAATTATCACTTTTTTCTATTATTACAGCCACAATTACGTATTGGTACATATCTTGCCTGAAATTTTTAATTACACATAAAATATTAAAGAATATTTTTTAGAGGTATATTATAGAGAAATTTTGCTAAATTATAGAGATATTTTGCTAAATTTGTGGAGATCTTTTCTAAAGTATAAAGATACTTTTCTAATTATAGAGTTACTTTACTAAATTATAGGTGTATTTGGTTAAATTTATAAAGGTAATTTGCTAAATTATTGGTGCACTTTTCTAAATTATAGAGATATTTTTCTAAATTGTAGAGGTACTTTGTTAAACTATGGAGGTTCTTTGCTAAAATTATAGATGTATTTTGGCAAATTCTATGTATACTTTGCTAGACTAAAGTGATAATAATTTGCTAAATTTATATGGGTACTTTGCTAAATTATAGAGGTATTTTGTTAAACTATGAAGGTTCTTTCCTAAAATTATAGAGTTATTTTGGCAAATTCTATGTATACTTTGCTGGACTATAGAGATAATAATTTGCTAAATTTATAGGGGTACTTTGCTACATTATAGAGAAACTTTACTAATTTATAGAGATATTTTGCTAAATTTATTGAGATCTTTGCTAAATTATAAAGATATTTTTCTAATTATAGAGGTAATTTACTAAATTATAGGTGGGTTTGGTTAAATTTATAAAGGTAATTTGCTAAATTAGAGGTGCACTTTTCTGAATTATAGAGGTAATTTGCTAAATTATAGAGTGGAGGTTATTTGCTAAAATTATAGAGGTATTTTGGCAAATTCTATGTATACTTTGCTAGAGTATAGAGATAATAATTTACTAAATTTATAGGGGTACTTTGCTACATTATAGAGAAACTTTACTAAAATTATAGAGATATTTTGCTAAATTTTATTGAGATCTTTGCTAAAATATATAGATAGTTTTCTAATTATAGAGGTAATTTACTAAAGTATAGGTTTATTTGGTTAAATTTATAAAGGTAATTTGCTAATTATAGGTGTAATTTTTTAAATTATAGAGGTGCTTTACTAAAATTAAAGAGGTAATTTGCTAAATTATAGATGAACTTTGCTAAACTATGGATGTTCTTTGCTAGAATTATAGAGGTATTTTGGCAAATTCTATATATACTTTGCTAGACAATATGGTAATTTGCTAAATTTATAGAGGTACTTTGCTACATTATGGAGGTTATTTGCTAAATTATAGAGATATTTTACTAAATTTATGGAGATATTTGCTAAACTATAAAGCTACTTTTCTAATTATAGAGGTCTTTTACTAAATCATAGGTGTACTTGGTTAAATTTATAAGGGTAATTTGCTAAATTATAGGTGTAATTTTCTAAATTATGGAGGTACTTTGCTAAACTATGGAGGTACTATGCTAAAATTATAGAGGTATTTTACTAAATTATAGAGGTATTTTGTTTAACTATGGAGGTTATTTGATATAATTATAGAGGTATTTTGGCAAATTCTATATATGCTTTGCTAGACTAGAGATAATAAGTTTCTAAATTTATATGGGTACTTTGCTACATTATAGAGAAACTTTGCTAAATAATAGAGAAATTTTGCTAAATTTATGGAGATCTTTGCTAAACTACAAAGGTACTTTTCAAATTATAGAGGTATTTTACCAAATTATAACTGTATTTGGTTAAATTTATAAGGGTAATTTGCTAAATTATAGGTGTACTTTTCTAAATTATAGAGGTATTTTGTTAAATTATAGATGTACTTTGTATACTTTGCTAAACTATAGAGGTAATTTGCTAAATTTATAGAGGTCTTTGCTATATTATAGAGGTATTTTGCTAAATTTTTGAGATATTTTGCTAAATTTATGGAGGTCTTTCCTAAATTATAAAGTCACTTTTCTAAATTATTGAGATACTTTGTGAAAATTTTAGAGGTACTTTACTAAATTATAGGTGTATCGTGTAAATTTCCAATAAGCATAAATTTAAACTATAGTAGAACATCAAAAAATGAATAATCGATAAATTAATAACATTGATAAATTAATAATTTTCTCCGGTCCCAAGTCGGGACCAATACAAAAACCAAAGACAATCGATAAAATAATAAGTTAATAATTATTTTAAAAACCCAATGTAAATATAGATCCGTCAATATTATAAATTAATAATAACTTGAAATTTTTTTAAAAAATGAGCTAGTAAAATATGAATCTAGCAATATTTGTTTTTTCCCGAAATTATATCTACATAAAGAAATTGTAGATGTCTTACCTGGACGGGGTCAATGGGTGATCAAGAAGGCCTATGGCCTAGGTTGGTGACCTCCATTGCACTTCGGAGGGGTGCCCGCCTAAGGTCTACCCTAAGGGGTGCAGCCTATATCATAATTTGTGGCAGCGGGCGCCAGCGTTCGTGCAGCCCCTTTAAAAAAAATAAAAAAATTGTAGATGTTATGAATTTTTTGCATGATTATTTCTTAGAAAAAGGTCAATATCTTTTGATAGAGACATGTTACGAATATTGGGTAAGTGATAAACTTTAAGATGATAGTGGAGTCTAAATTCTAATGTATAGGGGATATAAGAATGTAAATATTTTGCAGCTGAACTTACAAGATTAATAGGATTCTTTGAAATTTTCTTTAAATTAATATTATTAATTTATGGATAAATTAATAATTATTAATAAATTAATAAATCAATAAAATTAATAATCTTTTGGGTAATAACAGTATTAATTTGTAAATGTTTAACTCTACATAAACAACACCTCGTCGACAAAAAAAAAAAAAATACACCTTGGGATAGCTTATGTTAATTTTTTCATTAATAATACGAAGACAAGTAGTACCCAAATCATCATCTGATAAAAACATGGAAATATAAGGTTTCAGCGCGACCGGTAATTTAGACCGGGAAATCCTTTCTTGAACTCACTGATACTTCTTCGTTGAAAGCTCGCGACTCGTCGAAGAAACCAATATTAGTACCATAAGGTGCAATTTCGTTTCTTCACTCAGTACCATAATCATCTGATTGATTTTATTTCTGCTGCAAAAAAAAAGAGATAGGGTTTCTAGTTCTGATGTTGTGTGAATCGGCGTTTTTTCCCGGAAAATTTATGTGTTGTCGTTCGTTGGTTGCAAGGCACTTATTTTTTGTGATGAAATTTGTTGGGAATCATTTAATTATCCCGATAGGGCTCCGAATTTTAGCTTTTAGTCTGCTTTCTAGGTTAATTTCATTTTTTTCATTTAAGCTGTTTGATCTGGTGAAATCTTAATAAGTTTGGTAGTCATGCGCAAATTTCAGTTCTGCTTTATATAATTTCGTGTTTTAAGGCAAAATTCTGAGGCCATTCTTGAATTAGATTTTGCACCCACAAGCTACAAGGTCTTAATAATAATGCATGTGTAGGCAGAATTTAACTTTATTAAAATCACCGATTTATAGCATTGGGGTTTCTTTTTCTCCCTTGTTTGGTTGTAACGTGCTGTGGCCAATGGCATTTTATGATTGCTAATGTTTTGAACTTAATTTTTTAAATATATCTTCTTTGCAGTGTCATTGGAGATGGCTGGGAGACACCGGATTCATCGTGAAGCATATGATAATCGGCGTGGTTATCCTCCAGAAGGCCCTGTTCCGCGTGCCCATATGGCCCGTCCACTCCCTCCTCCTCATCCTGCCATATTAGAGGAGGAGCTTGAGATTCAACACGGGGAAATTCGCAGGCTTTGGGGTGAAAATCAAAGATTGCTTGAAGACAGAGTTGCTTTGCAGCGAGATTTGAGTGCTGCAAAGGACGAACTTCGTCATTTGAATCTTATGTTAGCGGATATTCGTGCTGAGCAAGAAGTACACGTAAGAGAACTTGTTGAACGCGGTATGAAGATGGAAGCAGATCTACAGGCCGCTGAGCCTCTGAAAAAAGAGGCTGCACAACTGCGTGCTGAGGTTCAGAGGCTAAATGGCATCAGGCAGGATATGTCTGGGCAAATTCAGAGCCTTACAAAAGAACTTACAAAGTTGGAAGCTGATAACCATCAGATTCCTCATTTAAGGACCGAACTTGATGGACTACATCAGGAACTTTTGCGCGCTAGGTTTCTCCTTTTCCCAGCTATTGTTGCCGTGAATACATGTTATTGTATGGTAAGATGTTCTGTACCTTTGTGTCTGGCTTCATGAACTTGTGTGTATTGTAGAGCTGCGATTGACTATGAAAAGAAGGCACATGTTGAACTGCTGGAGCAGAGACAAGCAATGGAGAAGAATTTGGTCAGCATGGGGAGGGAAGTTGAAAAGCTGCGGTTAGAGCTGTCCAGCAATGATGGTCGAGCATGGGCTGCAGGTTTGTCATCTTCTTCACTCTCTTTTTCCAACCACCCCGTTGCCTCTTTGGCGCTGTTTTTTGAAATTGGCCCTGAACGTCTATCTTATGCCATTGAACAACTTCACTCCCTTGCTCTGAGTCATGTGTTATGTTTTTGTGTAATCTTTGGCAAGGGGCATGTACCTGTAATCCCCTGCGGTTACCAATTAGTAATAAATTGCAATTACCTTTTCCGATTTCTGCTTCTGTTGTAGTATGGGAACATTTTTTTTTCCTTGGAGCTGTTTTGATGTTCCACCTGTCATTTGAACTTGATTTTCTTCTTTCTTAGGTGGACCTTATGGGATGAATTTCGGCAGCTCTGATGGGGGTTTTGCCAGACACTATGCTGATGGATATGGAGCTCATATGGTATGCCAGCTCATCATCTGTTTGTTGAACTTACTTTCTTTGTTCTTACATATGTTCAAATGAAAATGGAAGTTTTTGATGGGTGATGAGTTCGATACTGATTACTCAATTAGGGTGCTGCCAACGAGGGTTCGCCGTACGGTTCAAGTTCAGCTTCATGGGGTGGATATGACAACCCACGAATGGGCCGTCGTTAAGATGTGCATTTCTCAAACTGAGCTTTTGATATAGGCAAGCTCTGTTTTGAAAGAGTAGAGAAGTATTTGACTTCGGCGTGTGCACTGCCAAAATAGTTCACTTGGTCATCTTTACTAACATGTATAGAGCGTTCCCTCTTTACCACTTTAGACGTTGAGTTCCTATGGCACTTTTAATATACTTTCTTGGGTTATTTATAATCATTCATGGTCTTGCCTTTTACTTAAAATTAAACTGCCAATTCCATTTCTATCCTGATTTCATTCCCACGTTAGTTTGTTTGGTTACTAGATCATTATAAGTTGCTGCCTTAGCCGCATTTTACGAGAAGGCTGGGTGTTTGAGTAGTTGAATAAGGCTCTAGATTTTAGTATCAGGTGCAATTTTTTTCTTCTTAGGGTTTACTAGATATATCGCTTATGGATAGGCATATGGGAAGTTTTTAACATGGAGAAATGCTACTGGAGAAAACTGCTGTAAATTTCGATTCAAGTGCCAGTCTCTTAGTATGAAAGAGTTTGGAATGTGTCATACATATTCCTTCGTATTAAATTTGGAGGGGAGAACGTGAAGCTTCTATTCCAGGAAAGTAGGCCGATGCTTTGTGGTGGATGAAAAACTAGCATCCTTGTCATGAGAGGAGGTACTGGAATCCTGTAGGAGGCCCTCCTCCAAATTTAGGGTTACATCTTCACAAAAGTTTGTCTTGCTTTGAGGTTTGAAGGCCAAGCAACTGACAATAGTCAAGCTGGATACCCCATCTCTTCTTCCTGTTTGCATACCACTTTGAACCCATATGCATATAGCTTCTCTTTAGAAAATCATTGCACTGTTACTTAAGATGATGTTAGTGGAACTGTTTGGAGAATGGAGCATAAGGCTTCTGTGCATTACAATATTGGTTTGGTTAGTGTTAGTGAAGCCCGTTCTGAATTAGAATGTGGAATAATGGTTGTGAGATGAGCTGTATACTGTTGTTCGAGTGAGTCTTGAAACCATGCCGGTGGACGTTACGCTGGCTTCAATTATCACCTTTGGTGGTTGATGCTTACAGAAGGTGGCTTCTGAGCACAGTCTTAGAAGCTTGCTTTGTTATAATAATTAGGAATAGTGACCTGCAGTGTCTGAGCACTTACTCGTCAAGTCTTGGCGTGATGGATAGTTCAGCCAAGAAGTTGCTTGAGACATTGAACCTGTCTATTTCATGATTTATGTATCACTCAAACATAGCTTTGTGCAATTTTCGAAGAAGTCAGGTTCTTGTGACAGTATTTTGTGGAAAGATCGTACTCCTTTGTACTTTGAAACAAGGCAGGAAGACCTGAATGAAGATGGTGGATGGACTCGGCCAGGAAGGCTGGTTACTGATCTTGACTTCTATAGGCAAGTATCTTGCATCTACGTATTGTTGGTTTTAGGATATTAATTTTTTTTAGATACTATTGTGCTTTGTATATTAACGTGTTCATTCATCTTTAGGATTAGCAGTTTGGGTATCCAGTCTGAATGTCCTATTTGAATGTGTGTGTACCTGGCCAATTGATTTTCAGTCTTCTTGGTTTCAGCATTTTGTTAGCTTGGATGTTGCCAGTCACATGATTACCCTCGGTTATTTAGTAATTCATGATTTAGAATCATGTATATTCAGGTTCCTTCTATGGTGAATTGTGTGTAAAGGGGTTATGTGTGATTATAATTTGAACTGGTGTTTGGGCTCTTCGTCTTTTTTAACTTAGGCTTGGGATCGGTGAACCGTGAACCTGACAATATTTTTGGAAGGTGGGGAATGGCAGGAACCTGGAAAACATGGTCACCTTGATTGAAAGGATTGTTAATGTGTGGCCAGGACAGAGGATTATGATAAAAGTGGGGGATATTCTCGTTATATCAGTAATTTTTATTTTAATGGAAATTAGTATTGTGGACTATAAGATCTGTTCTTTAGTTTAGTATTACTATATAACTTGGAGTACTCCTGGTGACTTCTTGGATGCTTGGAATTTGGAATCTGAAGCCACACAGGCGGAGAGAGAGTTCATAAAATTCATGTTAGTTGATGCATTGCATTATTTGATTTGAGAGAGTTGGGACCTGACGGAAGTTGTTGAAGTCTCCAGACGATGATAATATTAGGATTTTTACAAACTTTTTATGTCGTAGTAGTTCCCTATTCTTCCCCCATTGAGGTGGTTAATTTGTTGCTAAGTTAGTCTATAGGCGGGTTGGTAGTGAATTGAGCATTAGTTTTGTTTAATATAGCAGCAAATATTGTGTATCTGGGGTTTTCTGAGGGAACTGTTGTGTGGTTTAGATATCGTATTGTCATATCATGCCCTGATTATCATGGAGAATTGTCAACCCTTGGCTTGTAGGTTTTAATTATTTTTTGAGATGAGTTTGAACTTTAGCATGACAGAAAGATTTTGGATAAGTCTCTGAGTGGGAGAAGAAATCGGATGCAATGTTATTTGTGCCCTGCGTATGAAATTGCACATAGATTACCCGTTCGACTAAGTGATGAATGTAGTTATCTTAATCTGTACTTGTTGTGTGGAGAAGCATTGTTCTGTTTACGAATTGAAGTTTTTAGACAATAATTAGCTTGCGGTGGTACATTTGGGTGCTAATAGAAATTTTAGGTAGGGCGTAGTTCTTTCCAATTATCTAGTTTTTGAAGTGAATTCGGGATGTATAAAGGTGGATATCTCTCACTTTTGGCTTTACGTTGGCTTGTCATAAATGGTCTGAGAGTGCAGGAGTTGAAAAGGGGTTATTAGCTTTGGTTGCAAATTGTGCCTTTCAAGCTATAAAATTTTTGGACGGGTGCTGTTAGTTCCAGTTATCTGGTTTTTCAAATTAATTTGGAGCGTGTGAAGGTAGATTTGTAGAGTTCTGGCTTTATTTAATATCTGAAATACTATTCAGAATTTGAAAGCCCTATTAGCAATTTGTTAGTTATTTACTCAAGTGTATCTTCATGTGGTGTGGAGAAGAGATGAACTGTGCATTCGACGATAATAAGATATTAAAGGCTCCATGTTCAGTTTATTGCTTGGTATATTCCCTTTAATGGTTGGAGAGTATCTTATACACCTGGTTGCCAAGACTGTATTTTATGGCGAAGGGAATGCATTTTGGTATGGAGTTCTAATTGTGGAGTGCCTTTTAAGTTTGTTGAACTGGATTTCAGTGTTCAATTCTTTCTGGTGTTTTTTTGATGATGCATTTGAAAAGGGTACTGCTCCAGTTGTTGTCTTTTAACTTTGTTATGTCATTAGGAGACTTGATCTTACATAATCTCTGTTGTCATCAGCATTTGGTTTGCTTTACAAATAACTTGAGCATTCCTCTGATTTTCTTCCCTGGCTTATATTTTATGTACAGATGGGAATTGTATTGCAATCGAAGAGCTGAACGGAGAGCATCAGGTAAGTTTTTGCATTGAGATACTACTTAATAACAACACAAAGTTCAAGGAATGATGAGGAAATGGAAGAGCAAAAACAGATTAAACCATCATGACATAGGAGTTAGTTAATGTCTCAAGAACTACAGTTTACACTTTATTTGGTGTAGTAAGAAAGCTTGACCGTGAGAGGGGGGAGGTGCATAGGAGTTGGTGAATGTCTCGCCTCCCTTTTCTACCACAGTTTGGGAAGGGGGGAGGGGTTCTGGTGCACAATGTTTAAGATTAATTTACTTACAGTATCGAATATGAAAATGCTTGCGTATATCATCTGTCCCCGATGATGGATTCAGATACAATATTTTTAATGGATATGAGAATAGTTTGTCAATATAAAATCTTGATGTTAATGTAAGTAAGAACATTGAAGAGTCATCGTTGAGTGTAGGAAAACTGAAACTTGTGTCGTCCAAATTGTATGTACACCTTGGGATTGGTTTTGCCTAAAGCATCAATTTCATGTATAGGGGAGCTGTATAAATTGGCTTATCACCATCGTTTGAAATTGGAGTTCAATTTTTGAGTCCATATAAGTGTTTCTTGTATTTTAGTTTGCATGCTGCTGTCAGTTGAGCTGTAACAGGATTCTTGGGGTCTTTTTGTCTGCACATTTTCCATCTCGCGAGGAACCTGCGACTCCAGTTCCAAATGACATCTTCTTGTTGTATTTGGTCTTGCCAAATGCCGATGTCCTTCTGCTTAACTTCTGTGTGTTGAGTTACCTTTGTTTTACTTGATTCATATTCATGTACTACTAAATTCATGCAACTGACAAGATGGGACACGAAGTCGCATGTATGACGACAAAAGAAATTGTGTATTACAATACGAGGTCGAAAGATCATTTTCAGAATAACTAACTCGAACTTTGTGTTCATTTGGACAATTTCTTATCGTCTAGGCATAATTTGATTCCCTGTTGCCTATGAAAACTTGGAACATGGAGTTTTTATAATTTCGGCTCTCTTTGGTGGCTATAATGTTGTGGTACAGTAGTAAGTCCTACTGCTAAGTCGTGCCATATATTAGAGATCAGGAATTTGGATTTCATCATTAACACCACGTTTTGTCATACCATGAAGTATTGGCCGGGATGGTGAGAGTTATTTCGTTGTATTCCATGGTCATGGAGTAGCAGAGAAAGATCACATTCCATTTTTGCTATCTGCTAACCAACAGATACGGTTGCATTTGTGAATCTCGTTCATCAATTCACAACGCATGATTCAAATAACACACACACACACACACACAAAAAAAAGAGAGTGAAGAATATAACCAGAAAGAGTGCTCTTTCTTTCTATTTTAATGGTCCAAATGGGTACTAAATTTTTCAATTTTTTTTTTTAATTTTTCCATCAGAATCATCATCAGGTGTTCATAGGGAAAAATATACATTAATATTTATCGACTAGTGAAACGCCTTCTGGAATTTAAGGTCTTTCTACAAATAATACCAGACTGACCCAATATATCTGAGAAAGGAAATGAGATGATCTTACTATCTTTTCAATAGGCATCAACATTGACCCCAAAACAAAGGCCATTGGAAAAACGTTTATACAATTGATCAATTTTATGCATAGCGAGATTATGTTTCACAATGAAAAAAAAATGGTGCTCTTTCAGTTCATTCAATAAAATAATTCTTTTTAATTTTCTCCAAAAACAAAAAAAAAAATCTTTTAAAGGTTTGGCAATATTTCCAAATGAAAACTTTTGTTAAGAGTGGGGAATAAAGGAAAAAAGTTACGCTTTCAGTAGGGGGCCAGCCAAAGTCGGTGATTGGAACTCCTTCAAACACGACTTTTAAACCGCTTCCTTCCCTTGCAATAAAAAAACCCGGTCGAGACTCGAAACTGAAGTCTACTTACTGATGATTATGAACACTTCCGGTTTTGAAGGTTGAAACTGGTAGAAGGGTGTCCTTTTCAGAGTAGCCAATTAGAGTAAAGTTCATCTTCAGAATCAAATTTCGTTAGAGCTGCAGCTAGATTTGTTGATGTTGTGACAAAGAAAAAGTTCAACTAGCTTGATTACATTGCGTTTATTATGCTGGGGAACTCTGTAATTCCGCGCGAATTTGTTCATCCTTTCCAAATTCCTTCTCCTGTTAATAATATTAATCCATCACCCCACCACAATTTATTGAGTTCTGGAACTAAGTTGAAGCAGAAGGTTGGGGGAGTTTTTACTTCCCAATTTCTCAGCCCTTTTGATTATACCCGTCATGGGAGAAGATGTGCAGTTCAACTCAAGGTGAGGACTTTTCAATCACTTAACCCTTTTTTTCCCGTTTAATCCATGTATTTCCTTGTTGTGTTTCTTCGGTTTTTATTGCACGCTCCAGGATTCTTGCTAGTTTTTAGTATTTTGGATTAGAAAAAGGGTCCATTTTGTAGGGATCACAAGAAGACAAAAAAAAAAAAGACAGTAATGCACACTGGTTTTAAACCTTAATGGAGAGTTAGGGGTTTTGGCTGTTTAATTTTCCTTCAAGGAATAATTTTTCTGTTTCACAGTCAAGTTGAATTGGACAACTCAATTTGGCAGAAGGTTGTCTGCATAGGGTCATTGATTTGGATGAAAATCATGAACCTACTTCTGTGTTTCGTATGACCTTTTGTGCTAATGAGGGGAAAAAGAAAAAGGTCATCTTTTCATTTCAATGTGTATTAGCTCAGTTGAATTATAGCCTCTAGGCTCTACTGTTTATTCTTTGGGTACAAATGTGTTCTCATAACTGTTTTGCTATGGTGGAATGTTCTTTCTGAGATAGGTTTGGTTGGGATTTCCTCAATTTTGAACGAGTCTTTTATACTAACAATTTGTAGCTTCTTTATGGGATTCTCTAGGTACATGCTACGGCTACGGAAACTGATCAGCCAAAATGGTGGGAAAAGAATGCTTCAAATATGGTTGACATTCATTCGACACAAGAATTTGTCGATGCCTTGAGTCAAGCTGGAGATAGATTAGTAGTTGTTGATTTCTACGGCACCTGGTGCGCCTCCTGTCGAGCATTACACCCGAAGGTGAGCACTTTTGGGTTAAACGTCTCTGAATCTCAGGAAGTTTACAGTTGTGAGCTGACTTTTCTATCGTGAAAAAACAAAGTTACAGTTATAAACTTTGCTGCTTCGGAGAACTGGATTAATGTTAAGTGTTTTATCTTGATCATGATGTAAAAGCTTCTCTTTACTTTTCCCTTCATTAATCAGCTCTGCAAAATTGCTGAAGAACATCCAGAGATTCTTTTTCTGAAGGTGAACTTTGATCAGAACAAGAGTTTGTGTAAGAGTTTGAACATTAAGGTCCTTCCGCATTTCCACTTTTATCGAGGAGCTGATAGATTGCTTGATTCTTTCTCATGTTCCCTTGCAAAGGTATGTAGCCGTTTTAATTTATCTAGAGAACTTAAAGCATACTTTGTGCATGGCTATGACAGAGAAAAAGAAGAAAAAAGGCTAAGTGGAAATATACTAAGACATATTCACTAGTAAACTGGAAACATACTAGGGGCATAATCACCTGGATTGTCTTAGTAAGTTTAAGTTTATCTTCCTAAGCTAAGTTGCTGCATTGCATGCAACCTACCTTTTTCTTTTTCCCCTTTTATTAGAGCAGGAGCTTCATGGTTCTCAGGTTCTCTACATATTCAATTTCTTCCTTGTGTTTTTGCTTTCGATTATGGAATTGATTGCTTGAGAATTGAATCCAAAATAATTTGTGCAGATTCAGAAATTAAAGGACGCCATTGCTGCGTTTAACTTGGCCAACTGCTCTAGTCAGACTTCACCGATAGATAATGAGGACAGAAGTCTTAATCAACCGTCTGGAGCTTCCTGAGTTATCTGTAGCACTTCAGAGTTGAGAAAATCAAGCTTGTTATCCAGGATGTTCGTATTACAACATTTTCAATGGCTTGTTACACTGATTCATAATGTGTTGTCGTAAACTTATTATGCCTCGTAATTGCGCATACTTTATTGTATAGAACAATATGGCTAGTTCCGAAACTTGTAATGTCTTTTAGGATCTTCTCTACATTACGTATTTACGATTTGAAATTTGTACAGTACATTAGTTCAATTGAGATTTTTTCAAGTTCTCTTGATATTGTGTACATAATGTCTTTCCCGTGACCTTGACTTGATTTATCAGTTGTTTATTTTGTTTTGTTGTATGTACACCATTTATGCATCAATATGGATAGGATGGATGAATACCACCTTAATGTGTTTGTATACACATACATTTGAATAGGTACATGTTTGAGCAAACAAAAAAAAAAAAAAGATTACAAATGTTTTGGTGGATGCTCTAGAATTGCTTAGTGTCATATATCCAAACAAAGAATTCTTGTTATAGGTGTTTTTCTAATGTCAACCTTGAGTAGATGGTTGTAAAATGACAATGAGCATGTGCTGTAATAGTTGTTATTTAGTTCATTGTTGTTAGTCAGCCGCTCTCGTAAGGGTTTTTTCACAGATTATGTAGTGAATATCGGAGCAAGAACTTTTGTTCTTTTGCCCTTAACTGGTGTTCTTGTATCTGGAAAATGACCATTGCCATCTGCAATGTCCTGGACATGACCTTCAGGGCTTATGCTTATAGGGTAAGTGACCAAGTGCCCACCTTTCATGTCCGCTACTTCTTCCCCACAGTAAATTTCCCACATTTTGTCTCCAGTTGATCTGAATTTGTCCACACATTCTAGCGAATGAGGGTCATTGAATACAGCTTCTACTTTTCCTGTGTGTTCATACCACAATGACATCCTGAATGCATGAATTTCTTCGCGGTCTGTCCGTTCTTCACCCCTTTTGGACTGAAAGCATCCTATTGCAATCTCCGTGTCTCGTTTTCCATCCATGGATCTTTGGTTCACATTTGCAGATCCTATTAACAGGTACGCATCGTCGACTGCAGAAACAAAACAAGTATGAAAAACATTACACAGGTATAAATTCAGGGTCTGATAAATTTGAGCAGGCATGTTGGAATTGAGAACTTCATACCTATCATAAGCTTGGAATGCACGTAAATCATGAACCTTCGATGTTTTTGTGAGTTCCAATAATCTGTTCCGGGATGAGGGGAATACGGAGGAACAAATTCTCCTTGGACTTCTTTTTCCCTGTTAGCAAGGCAGAAGAAGTTCAGGTAATCTCTTGGATGCCCTGGATCACCGCTTTCTTTTATTGCTTCGCCTATCAACCTGTACATCATCTTCATTGTTTCCCTTAGCCAGTGTAAAATATCATGAACTGCTTCACTCTCCGGAACACCCTCTGGCCACATTGGTATTACTATATACACTGCAAAACGCTCTTTGGCCCTTATTTTACTTGCAACTTTTAGTGCAATCTCAATTGGAATTATATTTCTGCAGCCGCTGTGTTGATTTTCCTCCCACATGTGACATCCCCCAATGAAGTATTGATTTTCGATGTATATGAATTTGTCTGCCCGCCTTATTGCTTGTACATAAGCTTCGTGGATGCTTTGCTCAGTGGAAGTGTTCTTTGGCAAAGTGGTTACTGAAACATGGTCTACTGATCGAAAAACCTGAACATTCCAATCCCTGGATGAGGAAATGCTGGTATGATGCTGCTGCGAAAGTTCCGAAATGGTGCTAATGGGGACTAATAGAGATGGATCAAACTGTTTTGACCATCTTTGCTCAAAATTGGTTAGAACATCCCAAGCAGCTTGCCCTGTGATGCAAGCATGGGTATCATGCCATGGCTCTCTTGGCCCTCCTTTATGGAGGCTAGCCCCAGATATGCTTGTTTGATAGAAATCAAAGCAATGTGATTCAGTATTTAGTGTTTGAAAGAGTGAGTGATCTTGTGTGTCATATCGCCCATCACAGAGATCCAAACCGCCAAGGAAGCTCATGATTTCTCGGCCACTTAAAGTTTGCTGCACCCGAGTGTCCACAGTTATAGTTTTCTGATGATGTGAGAAGGCCGTAGGAAATTTGTCGTGCAATCTTGGACATAGTTTGCAGACTACTTTGGTGTGTTTAAAATACGCTGAGCAATCTTCATCGTGTGTTCTCATCATCCCTTGATTCTTAATTCCTGGTAAGGATGTTTCGTCGTTCCAGATCAAAAGCCTTACTGCAACTCCTTCCTCCGCTTTGCGCTTCAACAGGTCGCCAAGCTTCACACCCCTGGCGTGTGGAATGTCAGTATTCGGATCTCGAACCTGTTAAAAGGTACGTAGGTTATCACTGTTACAAGAAACATAACAGTTCTTGAAATGGAAAGTTCAATCCGGAATAAGGACTGTGATTGACTTTAGACCACTTACCAGTACAATCCTAGGATTAAAAGACCATCCTGCAATGTAAATCAAATGCTTTGCACCTTCAATGGCTTTGTACACATCCTCCCACAGTTTCTTAGGCGTCTGGGAAACCGAAAATGGTGGTAGAAATGTAGCACTTTGATGAGCATCTTGATATAGCTTCACATCACAATTTGATCTTTGAGGGAATGTAGCATTCTTGAGACCCTGGAATGTGTCACTGGCCAGTACTTTCTCCCAACTTGGCTCATATTCTGCTGGTTTGAACCACAAGATGTACTGTAACTTAAGTTTCTTATTTGCCTTACCATTTTCCCTGGAAAGCGGAAAGAAACCGTTGATCAAACTTGTTCCATTCAGAAGCTGATCAGCCTGAATTTTGATTTTTCCCAATGTTTTTCGCCTTGTCTTGAGGGTAATGGTGATGATTGAGTTGCATGAATGAGCACAAAGAATCTGGAATGTCTGGTTCCAGATACGATCTTGTTCATGAGTTGTTTCTGCTACCTTTTTGTTACCAATCTTGATTGTTACATAAGCCGGCCTTGCCTTTGCTATGCACTTTACAAAACAAAAGATAAAACATAAAGATATAGATTACAGTAAGATCACTCTTCATGAAATTCTAGAAACTAAAGGAAAACAAATGCATATTAGTTACCCGGAATCGCAGGGATGGTTTGTAAGGGGTGGCATGGCAGATTGTAGCTTCAAGAGTTCCATGGAGAAACATGGGTTTTCCCTCCATTTTCTTAAGCTCTGTTTGGGTCAATTTGTTTAGGAATAAGAGAAGAAGAAAGGATATAGAAGAGACAATAGAAAGATGAAAGTTGGTTTGGTTCTTAATTGGAAATTGGGGAAAGGCCATTTTGGTATATAATTTGGTAGGTAGGAACCTTTTGTGATTGCAATTGAAAATGTCAAAGCGCAAAGGAAAGCTTGGAATGTACTTGAGGGAGGTTAGTAGCCTGTTGGAGTAACTTATGGTTCATGTGCTAGTTTCTGATCTTACAGGCAACTTCCTCAAAGTCTTCTGTAAGTTTTATCTTTAAGCAGAAGCTTTTAATTGATAGTGTAGCATAGTTTAGTATAGTTACCTCCATGGTTTTGTTTTACTTTTCGGTACAAATGAATAGTGAATCGAGCGGTTTGAACTTGATAATTCTATTTTAACGACCGATTCAGTTATTACTATTTGTAACATTGACGTGTTTTAGTCTTTTTAGAATAATATCCTGTCGATTCTTCCTTCCCGTTTGAGATTGAGTAGGAAAGCAAATAGATGATTTTGTCAACCAAATTTTTGCTTCATTTTCCTTTTTCTATGTTGGGATTAAGCCAGCTAGGATAAAGGAAATGAAAAAAATATTTGGTCAATCTGGGAAATCTTGCACACCACTTTTACATGACGTTTTGGCCACACACACATACAACGATTTTGTGACCAACTGTCAAAGAGAACGTTTATTCTGCTCAAATATCTTTTGATTAATGCAATTTTTGCTTATTGCTTAACGTGATAACCTTTAAGTTCTTGAGGCTCATATCCGCTTTATTGCTTCCACTATTTGATTTACGTTACCTTCTTCTTTTTTATTTTTTCTCCTCTGGAAGGATTTGGGTCATTAAGAAATGTGTTGTGTTAGCTGTGATTCATATTTTCTTTACTAATGGAAAGAAAATTATTGTTATTATTTAGATAATCTTATGGCCAGAGTAACTTTCACGAGATAAAGAAAAAGTTTATTTTTTTATTTTTTGAATTTACTCTTATCAACTAAGGACAATGAAGAGCGTCAGTAAACGCCTTGTAAGAGTTGCTTTTCGACACAAAAGTATACCTTTATTATTTTTTTGAAGTGATGGAAAGAAAATCTCAATAGATTAAAACTTTCTAGGGCCAACTTGGTAGGTTATATAAGCAGGCTCATATTAGTCGACACTTAAAAATGTTGGATCTTGATGATGGGCTGAACTTATAGTAGGTCCAGTCGTCCAGACACCTTTTGAAGCCATTAGGCTGGTAAAGAGTACAGGCCTCAGACACGAACCTTGCTGAGAGTATCTTTCTCATTTCTTTCTTTCTTTCTTCCCTTTAGATGAACCAAAAATATCAATTGGAATAGAATTTCTCCTAGATGATCAACTATCATCATTCATCATCCAAAAAAGAAAAAATAGGATTGAACAAAAACATCAACTATCTTTCAATGGATTAAAAATTCATGACCAAAATGATGTACTCCCTCTATCCTAAAATTATTATCCAGTTTGATATTTCACTTTTAGTACATTTTAAACTAAAAATGAAAACTCAAACTGGACAATAATTATGAGACGGAGGAAGTACTTATGTTATACAGTTTGTAAGATGAAGAAATGCGAAATCATATGTTATTGCCCAAAAAAAAAACCAAAAAATCATATTTGTAAAAACTAAAACAGAACTATATTTTATTTTTTTTATGGGGATGTCGGCAAATAATAACAAGCACTTAGGTATACGTTGTAAAGTGTATCTCATGTGCATGTGTAATACACTCTCCTTCTACACAAGTTGATTTTTTTTTCTAATTTTCAGTTATACGCGCATTAAATCCTCCAATTCTCATCCCATTTTTTTCTCAAACATTTAATTTTAAACCGTTTTATTTTTTTGCTTATCATGTTATTTTTTATATTAGTTTATTTTATGAGAAATTTTTTTTATAGCTATGAATTTTATTTGCGTAAAATTAAATATGATTCATCATCGAGACTTATAAATACGAATAATCAATTGGAGCAAAAAATTTGAATTGATTATCAATGAAATCTGGAGAATTAAGTGTCAAATATGGAAGATTTTAATAGATAACGATGTTTGTTCGGATGAATAATAGTATTCTTATCGATGAATAATGATAATATTGTGGATGAATAATGGTGTTTTAATAGTGACAAAGTTATGGATAAATAAATTTAAAATTTTAAAATAAATATACAGTAGAACATCGATAAATTAATAATTTTCTCTGGTTCCAAGTCAGGACCAGTATAAAAAACAAATACAATCGATAAAATAATAAGATAATAATTTTTTAAAAAAAAACCGATGTAAATATAGGTCCCGTCAATATCATAAATTAATAATGACTTGAAAAAGAAAAAACTATGAGCTTGAGAATCAAAGTATTGTAGATGAATTTTTTGGATGATGTATCCAGCCATTGGTAAGAGTTTAAAGATTTCCCAGAAAAAAGGTCAAATCTCTTTTAGTAGAGGCATGTTACACAAATTGAGCAGGTGATAAAATTTAAGATGATGGTTGGAGTCTAAATTCTATTGCCTATGAGATACAAACGATATATAAATCTTATACGGCTAAACTTAAAAGATTAAAAGGATTCTTTGGAATTTTCTTTAAATTAATATTATTAATTAATCGATAAATTAATAATTTTTTGGCGTCCTAACAGTATTAATTTATAGATGTTTAATTGTAGATATCTACAAAGATGAATAAAGAAGCAAATGTTGATGAATAATGATCCCATCCAAGGTGAATAACAATAATAAAATGAATAATAGATATATATTTGCATGATGAATACACATATTTATAGAATGAATAACACATGTTCAAAGGATGAATGACATATATTTACAAGATGAACTACACTATTTTACATTATTAATAACACTAGTAATTGTTAATAACATTATTAATAACATTATTAATTGTTTTTAGCATATACGGTCTTGAGTGATTCACTGATACTCAAGACCTATATATTGATTGTTTGATTTCAACAACTCTGCCAAATATTTGATTGTCGGCCGATCGAGTTCATCTTGATTAGCATTTCTTTGCCGTTGATCAAACAAAAAAAATATTACAATAAGTGAGATTTCACATTCAATCAAAACTCTGTTAATCATCAATAACAATGCTATTGAAGATGAATAATCATTTTGAAAATGATGAATAAACATTAAAATTACATAAATCGAATCCAGTTGATAACGATGGTGTACAATACATATTACATAATGAATAACAACATAACTAGTGATGAATGACATATATTTATATGATGAATACACATATCTACGGAATGAATAACACATGTTTAAACGATGAATGATATATATTGACAGGATGAATAACACTATTTTACAGGATTAATGACACATATTTACATTTTTATACAATCACATATTACATGATGAACAACATCACTTGAAGTTTGTATCACAATTAGAATAAATAACTAAGCGAAAATAATGAATAACTAGAAATAGATGATGAATAAATATTTCATAGAAGAAGAAAACATGACTAAACGAACCCCAAATTGATGATGAATAACCAGCAGAAATAGATAATGATGTCAAAATCTGATTTCTAAAATCAACCACAAATCGATGAATAAGACTAAAACATCGATGAACTAACATGTTTTAAAGATGAATAATGATATTAAACTGATGAACAAAGCCTAGTTCTATTAATCTTTTCCAAAATCAACTACAGATCAATGAACAAAACTAAGAAATTAATGAACTAACATCGTTAATGGATGATAAATGATGAATAAACATTTCACAGAAGAAGAAAATATGACTAAAACAACCGCCATATCTATGAGTATTTTTTCTGAAATCAACTACAAAGCGATGAATAAGATTAGAACATCGACGAACTAACATGTTTTAAAGATGAATAATTATATTAAACTGATGAATAGCACCTAGATCTATTAATCTTTTCCAAAATTAACCACATATCGATCAACAAAACTAATTGACGGGAATAATCTCAAATCTTTGCCACCGAACAAAACACAAACAGATCTATTAAATTGATGAACAACACCTAGATCTATTAATCTTTTCCAAAATTCACCGGACAAAACACAAAACAGATGAATAATCTCAAATCTTACCGTAATTCTCATATTCAGCAGCGTATATAGCAACCAAACTCACGGGATTTGATGCACAATTGGATTTCGTCTTCAAAAATACCGCCGACGAGAGGTTTTGATGCCAAATCGCTGTAGAGAATATTTTAGTTTTTAGATTTTTTAGTTTGAGACGTCTTTGGATTAGAATAAAAAGTTGGATGGATATGATTAATGATGGTTGAAAATTAGGAGAGATATTAGGAAATTAAAGATTTAAAAAATCTTTTTTTTTAACCCTCTTTTGGGTGTGTGAATTTCAAACTGTAATGTGTACGTAAAAGCTCTATATTATAATTGGGGTTTCCTGTTTAACAACCAGTTATACTCGCACCATAGTGAAAGCGATGTAAATGCAAATTATTTTCATCATCTGATCAAACTTTGAAACCCAAATTAAAAATAATTATTGGTAGAAGAATTTACTCATTGCTTCAAGAATCTTCTGGAACATTGAATCAAATTCTACCAATCAAAAGCTTTATGGCTTCCTATTAACTAATCAAACATATTAAGAGGGCCACTTCTCAATCAAAATCATTTTGGTCAGAAGACAGCTGTTTAGCTTGTTTAGCTCATCAAAAAAGTGACTAGTTTTGCCCTAGGAGAGATTATTCGCATTGACAATGAAGAAGAAGAAGGCACACGTTTATATTCAAAAATATAGATTAAAAGATGTGATACATGATAACGATTTTCGTAGAATCGTATATTTTTGTTGTGTGTGGCTTAGTGACGAAGCTAAGGGACGAAAGAGTGCGGTTGCAACCGCTCAAATTTTTTAATTAATAGAGATATTCTAAATTTTTTAATAAAAAATTATGAATTGAATAATTTTTCGCGCCCCTTGCAATGATTTCTTGGTTCATTAGTGATATTTTGTAAATTTTGTACCCCTTCGGTGATTTCATGGCTGCGCCAACTGATACCAAACACTATTTTATCTTCAAGTTAATAGTAAACTAGCATCAATATAATTTTCAGCAGAATTTAAGAACAAGAGCTCAAGAAAACTTATCAGACTTTTTTTTTTTTTTGGTTTTTTCTCTTTTTGTAAACGAACTTGTCAGAATTTTCAAAGATAATTTGATCAAGATTTGGCACTTTGGAAGCCAATTAATGATTGGGTAACATGAGCACACAACCACGATGCCACGTTTGAAGATATTTCGTGTGAAATTAATTACACTGTATTTCAGATTTAATAATTAAAAAAAGGAGATGACCCTATAAATGACAGAATGGAGATATTTGAAGAAAAGATAATATAGAAAAGCCCAATGACAGCGAAAACACCAATATGGGAACAAGCCACGTGCCGGCCTGGTTGGTGGTGGTGGGAAGGAGTAAGTACGTTGGCCGTCTTTACATCTTCGTCGTCGTCCCCACGAAAGCTAGTGTGGTCTTATCCTTACCCGATCATCCCCCGACTCCCTTCCAAGCGCCTTGGGACATTTGGTTAGTTGAAACGGTCGGAATTCCGGCACTAGATTTTGTACGTCGGGAAATATCTTATGTAGTATGGGCTTTTGTAAATATGGGAAGAATGTACAGTACACTTATTATTGACAGCTATGAAGGTTTTCACTTTTCAGCTCTCTACCATGCAGATGCAATCTCTTCTTCCTCCAAGCTGAACTCATCATCATAAACTAAAGCAATGATAACAAAATCACTCCGCCTATGGACTATGGTCTTTTTTAGCTATGTTGTATGTGAGAATTGCATATCTTGATTACGTCACATTTTATAGTACAATATGTAAAACCAATATGTAATCTCATGATTAATTGAATTTGTCTACGTTTTATATATATATATATATATATATATATATTACGCAATGTGTTCGAAATTATTGTTTCGAGTAATCTAGATTTGAGCCGAATATATAGGTTTTTTGAGAAGTAAAATTCTCTCAACAAGTATTTTAATCACTGTTGCATGCTCATATCTGGATTTGATCATATATCATAGTTAATCTGGCCCAAAACTATTATCGCTTACACCAAGTGCTTGTCAATTTATTTTAACTGTTTCCCCCTTTTGTTGAAATTGATTAGTAGAGCACAGCAATTTGAATGTTGTCATTCAAATAATGATAGATAAATAAATATAAACCCGACTTGTAGATTAGGGTATAAATTCGTTGAAAGTTATCCCAAAGTTTATCATCACCAGAGAAAAACAATTGGCTAGTCAAACACTAATTGCATTATGACAAGCAAACCTTTTTCCCTTTGCCCAAAAGGCAAATCGCAACAAGACTTTCTTCGCTGCCGACTCTAATTAGCGTTCTAATCCTTTTTTAACACCAACCAAAAGCGTGACAAAGACAACATATTGTTTTTTAACTAATCATGCACCTCACTCACAGACAATCAAAACCCATGACCCCACTCCTTTTGCGAATTAATAATAACAATAATAATACTCTACAACAAGTCCGAGTCGCAAACTGCCTTATTTACACCGCCACTCCCAGCTCACTTCTCTTTCGTCTCTCCCCATTGGGCAAATTATTCCCAATTTCAAAACCGGGTCAAAAAATTCATGACGAATTACGGCACAATTCCGACGTCCTCCGGCAGCGGAGGAGCAAACCTCGAGTACATCACGCGCGCAAAGGAGCGTATCAAGGAAGGATTAGGAACTCGCCGGCCATGGCGGGAGATGTTCGACTTCCACGCGATTAAACTCACCACCCACGTCCCCGAGATCACCGGCCGGATCAAAGCCAACGCTTCCTACTTCCGGATGAACTACGCCATCGTGGTGCTGTTTATCCTGTTCCTCAGCTTGCTCTGGCACCCGATCTCGTTAATCGTGTTCATAGTCCTGATGGTGGCTTGGATTTTCCTCTACTTCTTGAGAGACGAGCCGCTGGTGATCTTCGGCCGTCTGATTAGTGATCGGGTGGTTCTGATTGTTCTGGCGATCCTCACCGTCGGTTTGCTCCTGTTGACTCACGCGACGTTTAATATTCTGGTTGCGGTCTTGGTTGGGGTTGTGGTGGTTCTGATTCACGCGGCTTTGAGGAAGACGGATGATTTGGCCTTGGATGAAGAAGCTGGGCTCTTGGGCTCTCATGGAAGCCCAAGTTCGTCTTAGTAGTACGGCTTCTTCTTTCGTTCTATTTTTTTTTTTTTCCCACCGTCTTTTGTTCAATTCTATTTTGGTGTAATTTAATTCCTCAATTCGTAGATTGTTTGTTGTACCATTCTCTTTCGGGTCTAATTATTCTTGGGTGATTGTTTTGAGTCAGATTGTGAATGAAATTATTTGGGTCAGAGTGTGTGTGTGTGTGTGTGTGTGTGTGAAATTGTTTACATTTGTATTGAAAATTTAATTAGTCCCGTTTCCAAAAATTTTCAAATGCATTTTAGTTTTTGGATGGATTCCAAAAATTTTTTTTTCCCCCCAACTCCTCCTCGGTGAGATTTGCTGAAAGAATGCTGATGATAATCAGTTGACTTTTAGTTGATTTTGGGCAAAACAAAGCACATTTTGTGGCCTCATTAAATTGCGCATTTTTTTTGCCAGTTTTTATTCCAGTAACTTCGAGAGGAGAGAAAGCGTTTCCATCACAAAAAAAAAATAATAATAATAACATGACGATAGTATTGAAAAAGCAAAAAAAACAACAAAAAGCTTCTGGTGGCAAAAGATTTGACGCCCACCGTGGGGCTCGAACCCACGACCACAAGGTTAAGAGCCTTGCGCTCTACCGACTGAGCTAGACGGGCTTCTGTCTATTGGAATAGTGTTTACATATATGTTCTATAGCTGGGGAAACCAGTGGTGTGATTCTTCTTAACTAGTTAACTACATTGGAGCAACACTACCTTCAACTCATTCGATTTCATTGATGGATGATCCTTAAAGCTTTGATGAAAGTATCTACACTGATGATAGCCACATGAACACAATAATGTATTGCTCCATTAGTTGGTCTGATGATACTTGCAGGTCAACAGGGCACAATAATTTTATAAACTAATGAATTGTAGCTGTTGAATTGAATCTATCCCTGGTCGTGGGTAACGAAGCAGTCTCAATAATGATAATGACTTTTTAGATTGTTTTATGCTGAAATCACCTTCTTTTGGCCTGATCTCTTGGCAAAATTTTACATAGCCATAACTCATAAGCATCCCATGTGAAAATGGACACTGTAAAACAGTAATAACGTTGCCAATCTTTTCTAGAACAGTAATATCGTTACCAAGAATAGTTTGGTCCACAAAAATAATTCGTTTTGTTATACTAAAACATTATACTCTCTCTGTTCCAAAATTATTGTCCAGTTTGGGTTTTCATTTTTAGTTCAAATTGTACTAAAAGTGAAATTTCAAACTGAATAATAATTTTGAGACGGAGGGAGTATTATTTTTGAGAAATGAAGATTATCAAATGCGTAAAATTTACAAGCGGACGTAATAAAAAATAATAATAATAATAATTACAAACGAAGCGTAAGCAACATATTTTGTTTGGACTTCGGATACTTCCTACACATGTCTAGCAACTAAAGGATCATTCACATGTCTTTTCTCTTTTCTTCTAATTTCTTATAGTGAGCATATTTTACACAAGTGGAACTTATGAAGATGGAGCATCCACACTCTTCTTCAGTTTTTCAAATTTCTAACGAAGGTCGAAATGTTACATTACAAATTATTTATCTTGAGTTTTTAAGTATTTTATGCTACTACTATTTTGCCCAAATGTACCCGTATCGTTCGTATTATTCTATGACTAGTATACAGTAAAATTCAAAGTAATTTACTTTGAACTCAGCAAAAATACTTGAAAAATGGAAAAAAAAAAAAAAAAAAAAAGTTTAGTTGAGCAATATAAGTCATGACGTCACATAATTCAAAATCAGAAGAGTCGGAGTCAAAGGGGAGGCCACTACCAGTAGTAACTTCCCGAGTATTAATCACCACCGCCCGCGGCGGCGCTTTTAAGCAATTCAAGCTTTGCTGATGGCTCATCCTCCGCCTTACGATCCCTACTTCTTGGCGCAACCTATACACGATAATTACATTTATACCACCATCCCGGTCGCCGGTACCAACGACCTTAACGGCGGCGGCATTAACACCCTGTTCGTGTCGGGGCTCCCGGATGACGTCAAAGCCCGTGAAATACATAACCTCTTTCGCCGCCGCCCTGGCTTTGAATCCTGCCAGCTCAAATATACCGGCCGCGGCAACCAGGTAATCTTTTGTATTTTCTGTTTTTCAATTTTACTGTTAACTACACACGCGGAATTAGCTGGTGAAAGGCATTAATATAGAAGAAAGACTCTTTATCTTGTTTTTGTACTTGGCTAATTTAAGGTTTGTTGGTTGAATTATTGTAATGTGAACGAGCTTGGTTCTGTTGATTTTAGGGGTTGAATTTTCCCCATTGCACGAAAAGATTAGTGCTGAGTTTTTTGTTTGGAGTGGGCAAACTATTTTTTAATTGTTTGATGGTTGCTATTCGTAGGTTGTTGCATTTGCTACCTTTTTAAACCATCAAACGGCCATGGCAGCTCTGCATTCACTAAACGTAAGTTATGATTGAACTTCAAGCTTAGGATCATTTGGTGATTGGTTTTTGTTTTTACTTAACTCGGTTTATCCTCATTTTTATCTCATAAAAAGGGGTTCCTTTCCTTTTATTCTTCTTCTTTATCTCAGCTTGATATGTGGTAGTCATTTGCTTATTTTGAATTAAACGAAGGGGTAAGATTAATGTGATTAGACATATATTGAAAGTTCATTTGTAGATAGCATGTCAGTTTCTAGAGTGGCCTGTTTTTTAGCTTGGCTTCCCAACTAGAATAATCCAATTATCTAGAAAAGGAATCCCTGCATATTGTTTACCCATAGAGGATCTGTTGGCAAAGTTGGTAGCTTTATGTGGAACTTTTAAGCTTATACTGTCATCAAGTGATTGGCATCACACATACGAGAACCAAGAAAAGTTGAAACAAGTTGCTGCACACTGACCTGTGAAGACTTTCCGCATGTTTTTTAGGGTTTTGATTGTCTGAGCCAGTACCTGCATAACTTATATCTACATAAACTAGAAGCTGAATTTGGAGCTTGGTGCAAATGATCCATTATATTCATTACATAGGCCACTCCAGTATGACCGAGTATTTTATTCATGTATTCTGATACATTTTCTGTGCCATTTTTCTTAGCAGGGCGTAAAGTTTGACCCTCAAAGCGGATCCAGTTTGCATATTGAGATGGCTAGATCAAATTCAAGGAGAAAAAATAAACCAGGTGAATGCTCTTTTTCTGTTTTGGCAAAAAAGTAGAAAAGAATGGAGAAACTTTTACCGAAGGTAGTGTGTCTCTTGTGGAATTTGCTGACAATAGTTTAATCTGTACAGGAAGTGGGCCTTATGTTGTCATTGACAACAGAACTAAATCTTCTTCCGATGCCCATGAGACATCAAGTGATGATGGTAATAGTGTGTTAATTGCCAGACTTCTGTTGCTGTCATTTTAACAACCAGGACAAATAGACTTCACTTTGCTATTAATGCTGGGCTGATCAACATATTTAAATCTTGTCAAAAACATAGGGGAAAGTGATGATCCATCAAGATCAAATAATCTTGATTCTGTGGAGAAGGATGACTCTGTTGTGGATAAAAGGTTTGCTGGAGTAAAAATTAACAAACATTCACATACTCTAAACCTCTGAGTAAAAATAGGATGAGTAATTTTGCAGTAGAATGTTGATTCGAAACCTTAGTTAATAATGGTGTTTATGTTCTTGAACGGCAGTGAGGTTGCAGCTGAAGCTGATAATGATGTCGCTCCAGATAATGTGAGTAAAACTTCAATTCCTTTTTCTTTTCATACCATTTTGTGTTTCGCTCTCTCTGCTGCGGTGACCATCTTGAATGAGCCACGATACTTCATTATATTTGAAAACTTCTGCTGTTCTGTTTTCATTTTTTACTACTCATATCCCAAATAAATAGTCCACACTGAGTTTTGTGATTTGTACTGGTTTTTAGTACAGATATTGAAACTTAATTAGGAATATTTGTCTGGGACAGAGGGAGTAGTATTTTCTGATACTCAGCAAGAGGTTATGTGCTGTGGATTCTTTGATCTTTTAAGAGAATAATCTCAATTGTTGTGACTTGTGAATTCACGTTTTAGGAGCAAACTGAAAAACTAGTAGATAGTTCACAGGCATGTTCAACTCTGTTTATTGCAAATTTGGGTCCCCTTTGCACAGAAGACGAACTAAAGCAAGCTCTTTCTCAGTAAGTTGTACCAGGAAATTGTTACATCCTACAGAATTTTTCAAGTATTGATATCCTTCTGTGAACTTCTATAAATTCTGGTTGATGTCCTGTTGTTGACAGATATCCTGGATTCAATTCACTTAAGCTGCGTGCCAGAGGGGGAATGCCTGTTGCATTTGCTGATTTTGAGGTAAATTTCCTGCGCCTTTACCGTGAAAAGATTGGTTAGCTCATTGAAATCTCGGGTAATAATTGGTTTACACTATGGGAGCTTTGTTTTACGTACATCCATGAACTCGGAAATTTAAATAAGCTTATGATGGCAGGGAGTGGAACAAGCAACAGTGGCAATGGATGCACTTCAAGGAAGCTCACTAGACTCTTCCGACCGGGGTGGCATGCATATCGAGTATGTTCATAACTTTTTCCTTGTGATATCCTCGGCAATCTACCTCATCTGACCAATGAAATTTACTCATGTTGGTTTTCCAGGTATGCAAGGTCTAAAATGAGGAAGCCATAGAAGACCTTCCAAGGTTTTCCGCATAAATGGGATGAATGATCAAAAAAATGCAAAGTTCACTTCCGTTAGCTCGTGTAGTAATATTGAACACTTCGGTGGTTAGATGTTGTGAATATTGCAACTTTCAAATGTAAAAGCTGTCTTTGACATTTTTTATTTTTCCTCTCGAGAGAGCGTTAGCCAAGTATCAGTAAATTGAACACGTAGGTGTAGGGTGCCAGTTTGTATGGTAACTTTCCAATGTACAAGCGTTTTCTGCTTGAGAAATCAACAGAGATTTGATCGGTGCACCGTTTTCTGCTCTCCTTTTCCTTTGCTTGCTGAACAACATTCTCCATATTCTGCTTTCTCAACAATCGAGTTACATTAAACGACATTTTTGTGCCTTCTAAAGTTCGATTGGCCTGTATGATCTATCGACAAACCTTAATGAGCCTGTTACCAGCCCTAACAAATTATAAAATTTTAACTTCAAGTTGGGCAGGGGCCGCGCGAACGCAGGCCCCCACTGCCACAAATTATGACGTAGGCTCCACCCATTTGGGTAGACCTTAGGCGGGCACCCCTCCGAAGTGCAATGGAGGTCACCAACCTAGGCCATGGGCCTTCTTGATCGCCCATTGACCCCGTCCAGGTAAGTATGGAAATTGGTGTACCTCCTTCGTCCTATATAGTGCACAACTCCTCGAAATTCTACTTGTATCTCCGATGTGGGACGCTGACTAATATAACACACGAAACCATATTCACTTCACAAACTGGGACAACACGAAAGCTGATCCCACTACAAACCATCCTAATTCCATTTCATGATTCTTTGCAGACAAATCTTTATAACTAGTTCCACATTTTCATAAACCATATGAATTGTAAGAATCCGGTTCACAGTTTTTAGTTATTGGTTAATATACATATCTACCTTATTCTCCCGTGTTACTGACTTGTTTTCTTCTTTTGTAAGATCTTACAATACAATGTTCGAAAGATAAAAAATCTGTCGGCGAAGCTTTGTTCTGAACAGCTAACAGCACACCGTCATTCAAGGGAGACTTGTCTTCAAGAAGCTCAAAATTGGTACCTCTGAGAAAGGAACTCTTATAAACACAATTTCATAATATGTAGAGGTAAGAGTACCCGTCCATCTTGTAAATATAATACTACTCGCTTCGTAAAACATCAGGATTCCTAATTTGATTCTATACAAGAACTCAAAACCTGGGCAGCATTTGCAGTCTGAATTGGACTCCCACCAGAAGCCAAAAAAGGAAAACAAAAAAATACAGGTATCATCTATTTGCAGTGATATCATGGCTACTAATAGTTTGCAGCAAGCAATTTACAGATCGTCCGCGTAGGGAGCCCTAGAACCAGCTGACCTATGAAAACCATCCAGAGAGAGCTTCCCACTGAAACTTCCTTCCAATGATGTTCCCTTTTGAATCGGACCACTACTACATTGATGCTGCTGCTGTGGCTGGTGATGAGCTGCCAGAATCCTTCCACTTCGGCTCCCAACATCACATCCTGATGCTGACATTTGAGATGATGAGTCCATAATCATGTCTCCTTCCAGAATCCGCAACACCTTTTTGTTCAAACATTTAAAATAAAGTCCATCAGATAAAATTTTGAGATGCACAGTGACACAGCTAAGATTACTGCACAACACTTAAATTCGAAATTGATCAAAAACTTGCATCTCATGACTCTTGATACTGTTATTGCCCTTTAAGCAGTTGAGATGAGGTGTAGCAGAGAATTTACGCTGGCTTATACTTCTTTCCTTTTCGCATAAGTTTTAGCACTAACCTGTGACATGCGAGGCCTCATCTGAGGATCCCGCCTTATGCACATAGATGCAGCATGCAGCATGCAATAAACCTCGTCTTCTGAATATTGATCACCTAAACGAGGATCAACGAGTTCAATTATGGCGTATTCCTCCAACAACGGTCGTGCCTGCAATGATAAAGTAAAAGAAAAAAAGGGGAATGTAACTAAATGGAAACATTGGTGATCCAAATTACTTTTTAGTACCACAAGTCATAAAAATAAAGCTGCCGGGGAATACCCATTCTGTGAGGCACTGCTGACCCTTGGGTCTGTTAAGATCAACTGCTTTTCTGCCAGTGACTAGCTCCACTAATACCACGCCAAACGAGTAAACGTCTGCCTTTTCAGTGATTTGACCACTTTGAGCATATTCAGGAGCCAGGTATCTTCAGGAAGAAGTAAGATTTTATTACACAGGTTACATTTCTTGAAATGGTCTCAGGAAGGAAATAAATCATGGCAAAACTTACCCGAATGTCCCAATTACTCTAGTCTCAACGCCAGTGTCCCCATCAGGTTGCCATCTAGCTAGACCAAAATCTCCAACCTTAGAAACAAAGATAACAGAGTGAATAAGGTTGGTATATTTCTTGAAATTCTTTTCTTTGTGGACCCTCTTTGAACATATATTTATGCATGGGATCAATACACAATTCAAGCAGTAGTCCCCCTCTGGGCTTGCACCCGGTTCTAAATTACATTTTGAATTGATTGAACAAGGATATGTGTTTAACTTCTTTCCAGAACAAAAAAGAGATCAAAATGAAAATTTTGGAAAGCTATTCAACAAAGTCACTGGTGGAAATGGATGGAAAACGAGCAGCTTTCTACGGCGTCAAAATTTGAATTTTCATTTTGTAACACAAGATGGAATGTTGAAGCTATGATAAGGACATTATCTAACAATGGCCAATAAAAGCTCAGAACTTGCATACCAGTGGCTCAAAATCATGGGTGATCAGAATGTTGTTTGGCCGCATATCTCGATGGACAATGCATCCGACTCGGCACTCTTCGTGAAGATATCTAAGCCCTCTCGCAGCTCCAACAGCAATTTTTTGCCGAGCAGACCACTCTAATGTATCACAGTAGCGTCCTGAAAACAGTACCATTAGTTAGAGAAAATGAAACTGAATGAACCATAGGATCAAAAATATCTTTCTCAAAGAAGCATATTAGATACCATAAAGATGAGAATCCAAAGATCCGTTACAAATGTATTCATAAACCAGTAGCCTACGGCCATCCTCAATGCAGAAGCCAATCAACATTACAACGTTGCGGTGCTGAGCACAGCTAAGTACTTCGACTTCAGAGCAAAATTCTTGATCCCCTTGAGAACTTGCCAGTTTATGCTGCTTGACAGCAACAACTTGACCGTCAGGAAGAACCCCGCGATGAACAGATCCAAATCCTCCTTCAGCTAAAAAATTAGCTTGTGAGAAACCTCCGGTAGCAAGCTCCAGCTCTGCATAGGTAAACCACCTCGGAGGCTTTCCAAATACAGGCGCTTTATGTTGACAAATTGAACACAAGGGAGGAGGGCCAAGCGGGACATTCCGGGACAGTGAAATAGCCTCTCTTACATTTCCCCGGAAATCCAAGTTAGACCTGTATTGAGGCGAATAAAATGCAGCTTCTTCATCAAGTTTACTGAACTTTTCTAGCAAAGCTTTACTTGTACTACTACTTTGTGGTCTGTCATGCGACATCTGATTTGTCTCTTCCATGATAGAGGAACGCCAATGTGAATTCACGATATCCGCCACCCATGGTTGGAATCTTAAGCTTGATGAGGTTGAGGATAAATTTTCACTTTCTGTATCTGAACTAGATTCGTCAAGATCTTGATCTTCTTTTTGGGTAAACAATATATTTTTCTTCAGGTTCTCACTTATCTCAGAGGCAAAAAAAGGTGAAGTTCCAGGATCGGAGCTAGAGACTGATGAAGTTCCTGGATCAGTTGCAGTAAACATTTCAGGACTACTAGTTGGAGTAACAAGTGGTCCCCTGGTAGAAGAATCATTCTTGTTCACATCTTTCACAGATGACGACTGATCCAGCTCAACAGACGATGGGGAAACAGCTTCAGGTTCCTTAGGCGATCCAACTAAATTAAGACGAAGTACTTTTGGTTGAGATCGCTTCATAACCACAATGTTGCATTGTAGCTCTTCCATACAACGCTTCTTTTCATTTCTAAGCTGCCTGCAAAATTACAAAGAAAGACATGATTGACCACAGTATCTCATCAAAACCAAATGAGCAAACTAGCCATCAATGCATGGACAAAAATAAGTCATACTTGTCCAGAACAACCCAATTGGCTTGAGTTCGCTTCGCTTCTGCAGCCACAGAACCCAATTGGGAGCCGCCCACAATTTTTATCTTGACATTAATCTGATATATCAAGATAAGCAGAGGAATGGTGAGTAAAAATCATAATCGGCGTATTCCATCCCACTTAGTCCTAATCCTTCCCAATATTTCAAAGACTAGAAAGAGAATACATTGTCTTAACCTTATTTGGATCATAAACATCATGAAGCTGAAGGATCATCTGGGAGCAGGAATCTGTAATGTCAGTTTTCTGTTCTGAACTAGTCCCAGAGTGTGACTTCCGTTGGCCACTGGCACAATCACCTGCAAATCTTGGGAATCCCCACAGCTTCTTACCTACATAGAACAAAGTAAACGTCAATACCGATAGACAAATAGATTTTACAGAAATTCAAACAAATGGAAAAACAAGAGAGCTAAGACTAAACCCTCAACTTCTCCACCCAACCCTACATGGGAAAAATGTCTTGATCAAAAGAAACATTCCCATTGAGACCAAACTCTAAAGTATCACAATTTGATGCAGAATTAATCAATAGGGCACTTCATTATACTCAGAAAATTAGACACTGTTAGCCTAGAAACAAAAGACTGATTTTGTTACAATTTTTTTTTTGTTTGAAAGAATTTTGTTACACTATTTAGGGAGAATCAAAAGTTTAAAACACTGATATTTCTGAATTTATCATACAGTAACCATACAAACATAAAAAACAGATTCCTTTTTTTCTTTTTGTTTTTGGGCACAGGTAGAAATGTTCAAGGGCTTAAATTGAAACATGACCTAAAGCAGCACAATGTTTCTAGTAAGTTAAGACTGAAGAGGAAACAAACTTACCAGAACTTTGTGAAGGAACAACCACGAGGAGTGTAATGCAATCTCCAGGTTGCACAACATGAGTTAAAGCCCAGACAAGTGCAGTCTTTGGTATCTCTTTTGAAGCCTTAACAGCCACCAAAACTTTTACAGAAACAACCTCAGACTCCCTCTCCGACTTCCCTTTCTTCAATTCCTTAGTCATATCCCAAATGATTTAGGAATTCTTTCTCAAAATTCAATTCAATTCAGCTACACCTCTTCGCACATCAAGAAAAAGGATGAAACCCTTTTATCCTCGTGGCGAAACAAGAAGAACAGGACAAAACTTCGACTAAATGGAACAGCTGCAAGAAATCATTGATGGGAAATGCAATATTGTTCACAGTGCCCCACTCAAAAAGTCGCTGTGATTAGCCTTCACTTCATATACCGCCGACATGCATACTGTTCCTTCACAGTTGAGAGTACCCCGGATGATAACCCACAAAGAAAATCGAAGAAATAGTTTCCTTCTGAAAGCAATTATTACCCAGAATTTTGTTTGTTTCCTGATAGCTGGACTACTCAATTTGGAGGGGCTACCAGCAAGAAAAATGTACCTAAAACAGGAAGAAGAATGACCTTAACCTCACAGACGAGAGGAGAAAACCATGAAAAGATTCCGAATAGTACGAAAATCAGCTATTTCTTCGCAGTAGGAAAGAATGGTTTTTTTCCCCTCGGTGACAACGGTATGAATCCAAATGACTTGATGGAAGCTCAAGAAGTCCTTTTTAAATAGGCATCTTTCAAATCAGAGTCAAAAACCTTGTGGAAAAAAGTAGGGGCCTTATTCCAGGTGAAATTAAAATGACCAAAAATAAGCTGTTTACCCTTTTCCAGATCCAAGAAATACTGGGTTTCCCCTTTGATTTCAAATTGAAGTGGTGAGGAAACTTTTGAACTTGAAAAGATTTTTTTAACTTCAACTTCACTATCCCAAATTCAAAAAAAGAAAGATTCCCAGTTTGCTACAACAACTCTTGGAATCTAACTTTTCTGCTTTTTTTGCTACCTAGTTAAATCAAAAAGCACCCCAATGTCCATTCAAATGGGGGCTTTGAAATGACCAGAGAGTTGAAGTTTTCCTTGTCTCCTCTTCAAACTTTTCTTTTCCCCCTCTCCCAATCACAAAACCCACATCATACCAAGCTGGAATTTTCATCAATCCTGAAAATTTTAGGAAACACTAATTAGTACAAATCAACATGCAACTCCAAACACAAGTACACAGCCATGAACAGTGACTAAGATGAGAGAATTACTTTGTTGAATAATGGGGTTTTGAATACCTGAATTTTACTGTGTTTTATCTGTTTCCCTTTCCCTTTCACAATCAAAACAGCTAAAAACAACAAAAGCCCAAATGGCTAAAAGATCCTAATGCAGATTCATACATCAGTGTGGGTTGTGGTCTCTCATTAACATGTCACTGCGTGTGTGCGTGAGAGAGAGAGAGAGTGAGAGAGAGAAAGCGCGAAAATGGGGAAAGACAAAAAGAAAATCGAAATTGTTAAATTATTATAAAACAATTGCAGAGAAAAGGGAAGGACTTTGCAAAAGCTGAACAACCTCAACAACTCATCAATATCCCGTATTAATGATTTGATTTTATTTTATTTTTTTTGTGAGAGATCAGTTTTCACTTTTCACGTCAGATGATTCAGATGAATTATTCAAGTAGATGTAATAATTAGTACTCGGTACCATGAAAATGATTGTAGGTAAAATGTTTGATGATGGACATATAAGTGGAATTTCCTAATAAATATGTTTTTCTTTTTAAGTAAAAAATCATAATGTTTTTGTAATTAGTAGTATCTCATTTTGGATTTTATTTGGTATTTAGGATAACTTTCTGACTTATGATGGCGTCGGAAAAAGAAGTTTCCCCATTAAAAAATCACATTGTGTTTTTGAACTTTCCATTCTCTTCTCACAATATAAATTGTTCAAGGTTGGCATTTTCTTTTCTCGTATTTACATTTTTTCTCTTAATATCTTTTTTAATTCCTTTAATAACATTCTATGTGACAGACATAGTGAAAGACTCTGTATCTATATTGATGTAAGTAAAATTGTTTCTGTTTCAAAAAAATAATCCATACGTAAGATTCGAGCCAGACCAAACTTACTCAAGATCATTACTCTAAATTAACCATGGTTCTATCTATATGCTGTTAGGTAAAGACAACTCTAGGGACGGGGGAGATTGTGACACTATAAAATGACCATAACTTTACTACTAGGACATTTTATATCATTACATTTTGGGAAACAAATTTGTATGCTGATTTCTCATAAAAAGCTTCATGAACAGCTAAGATATCAGTGCAAGAAAACGATGGACTAACGTTTGGATTTATTTTGGGTAACAGCGACATTTCCAAAGGCCAGAGATTATTGCAATTTTTACACGGAAATAAGCAATGCAAAATACTAGAAATGAAATGCTGACTGGTGATTGCTCCTTTGCGATCAGCTCCTTTTTAGGGCTTGGATTTTTTATTTTTTATTTTTTTTTAAATTGAATGAGAGGAACTGTAGCAGAGGGAGGGCAGTAAATAGTTAGTACAGCGGTGGAAGTAATTGTTGTTGTTGTCTGCTCATCGATTTCTATCCACAGTTATCGCAGATGTTACTGTCTTAGCTGACAACCATAAAAATGGGGAAGTTTGTGCTTTGAGGGTCAACTTTGCTTGGCTTTCATGCCCTTCACTTGTGATTGAAATCTCCAATATGACATTTTCATGTAAGAAAACAACGTTTATAAATAAGATGAATATGAGATGAATAGTTCAATTAATTAACGTGACAGTATTTCTCAAAAAAAATTAAAAAAAAAAAATTTAACGTGACAGTATGATTGTACTCCATCCATTATGAAATATGAGTGATTGTTTATTTTGGATTTTTATTTTTAATATAAATTGTGCTAAAAGTAAAAATACATATACAAATATCATTTTAAGACAAAGAAAATATTAACATCTTTTATGCTTTTTAAAATACATATATGATTGACCGTTCATTAACAGAATAATAATTATATGAAGATGTTAGTTCTATAGTAAATAGTTCGTCTCCTTTATAATTAAAGAGAGTATTTTCTCCGACAATATATTTATAAAACAAAATAATATTTGTATTTGAGTGTTACTCAATGTGAAGGGTTCAAAAATATGAAAAGTACGTTATTCAAAAAATAAGACAAGATAGAGTGTAATCATTATAACCCTTTATTTTAAAATTTTGATTTAACGGAATAATAATGAGAATATTATACTGGCATTGCTTGTAATCTTCGAACTTGGGTTGTACTTCACGGTCATAATTTTCATTTTTTCCCTTTTATTGATCGTGAGTTGTGCGTACTTAATAATTTTGAAGAAAGGTGTTTTACTATTTTTATATATATCTCGGGTTGACGCATTTTTATTGACAAAATGTGCTCTAACTATTGGTGTTTGTGAGTTGTGACAATACTATATGTGGCTATCTTACTAATGAAACCACTTTAAAATGACCATATCATAAAAATAGGATTTTATCATGTGCAGTGACCAAATGAAAAATGTACGCTGTCACAACAATCATTCCCACACTAAGGTGTCTGTAAAACCTCTGAATTTTGATCCAAAAATACAAGAAGTAATGTGCAAATTATATAAAAATTAAGGAAAGTTTTTTTTTTCTTTTTATAACACTGGGAACCCCACCAGAGATGGGTAAACCCACGTCCACTGCGATAGCTTGCAAACCACAGTGAAAAATAAATCACCCTAGACTTGTTCAAAATGACAAACTCGAGTTTGAAATCGGGGTTCATTAGTAAAAATTAAGGAAAGTTTTCTCGCTATATTTTATCGATCTCATGATCTTGGAATTTTTGGTAGTAAAGGTTGGTGGATTATGTGAATGTTGAACACTTGCATAGTATTAGTGCCTGCAGTTGATTTATTTAACTATAGATGTATAATACATTTGTTAGTAGAAATCAGTCTTCGTACTAATTACGATCATTGAAACTGGATGTAATTATTTTTATATCAAATTTATACTAATCACTTCGATTAGCGTCAGAGTTGGATAGAACAATATGGATAAATTATAAATTTCATTCAATTTACTTGCCGATTGCCCGCAAATGTGTAATATATTTTTCAAGTTTATACTTCTTTTCTATTTAAAAAAAATTGTAAATAAATTAAAAAGTGAAAATGTAAACTGATTAACTGAAAACTAAACGGAATGTGTAAAAAATAAAATAAAAAAGTTGGGAGCCAAAAGAAAGGACGTGACAGTATGCCAGAATTTGAGTTTCAAAAGGCTGCAAGCGGGCAGCCTGAGACTGACCCCTCTCCTCCGCCACCTGCTGCTTTACTTTTTTTTTTTTAAATTACCGGAGATCAAAAGTGAGGATTTGGCTTTATAAACAGCAGCAGTTATAAATGTCTGATGCGAAATACTATATATTAATTATATAGGGTATAACAGTATCATCAAATACACTACTCTGTAACCTACTTTATCATCCATTTAAGAAAAAAAAAAAAAAACACTTTATCATCCACGGCTGTGAAGGAGGAGACTGGAGGAGTAGAGCGGCGTTGCACCATCACTGGCTCCAATATTTTGTAAACCAAGATATAGACTCAAATTAATACTAGAATAAATTCAAATTATGTATATTAGGAGAGTATATACTTATTAATTTCTGTCATCTCCCCAAGGCTCTAAAAAACTATAGATTTTCCTCTGAAGTTTTTGAAAAATACAATAGTCCCTTTGGTATACAAAATAAAAATAAAGTATTATCTCCGTCCCAAAAAAAAACACTAATTTATGTTTAATTTTAAGATTTGTAATAAATTATAACCCTGTAACGAAGTGCTCATTCATGGCCATTGTAAAATTCATAAAGTAATATGCTTCTCCATAGACATGGTCCAACTGAACTATCGAATCTCAATTCAACAACAATGATCATGCAAGTATCTTCAACTAAAGCGAGAGTTTTTTTCTTTTGTTTTTTTTTTTTTTTTTTTTTTTGAAAATGGTGAGACTTTCATTCTTTGCTCAAATTTAGGGAGCAACTTGGTAATTTGTTTAAACTTTGGATATGGTCCCAGTAATTTAGCCCTGGGTATAATTATCTCAGAAGTAGTACTTCAGATTTGGTCACGAGAGCGGCTCTTGGCTGGGTAAAAGCTTTAGAAATTTTTACTGCCAGTACAGAAAAAAACAGAGTATTAAATGGGGATAGGATTGGCTTTTTTTTTTCGGGTTTAAGTATTTGAAATTTTATGGTCCCAGATGTTAAAGAATGAATGTGATTAGTAGCACTGTAGCAGTGTTCTCTCTTTATTCTGGATGGATTGGTTTTTTATAATAACTTTTGTCTCTTTTTAAACAAGCAACAATAATGATGATGATGAACTCTGAAAGAGTGAAAGTATCCTTGGATTTATTTTTGGGTTGGGGGGCGGGCTATAATGTCTGTTACCAAAAGATTTGGTGAAATTTATGTGAGCAAAGACAAATTTATAATTCCCCCAATTCAAAGACATCCTCAATTACACTTATTACTCTTCAGAAGGGCCAGCAATTCATTGCAAATGTACAAAGCCATCATCATTCTCAAAACTTTTCAAATATTGGCATCTTGCTTTTGGAGGGAGACTGTGTGGTTTTTTTTTGAAATCCAGGCAAACACTTATTGTTGACATGGTTGTAAACTCGGTGTATATTCTTGTGCACGGATCTGATTAAATAGGAATTTTTTCGGCCAAATAGGAATATCGTTTGACACCAAAAAAAAAAAAACCTATAAGGAAAAGCCGTCTATATATGTTAGCTACTTTAACGGCATAGCCAATTTCCGGAGCAGAGTACAGTGTCGCAGAATTAAAATCAGGTGCAGCCAGACGGTGACTAAACGGCTGCCGTCGTCAACTTGGTACCACTTTTAAAGAGAAAACGTTTCATTAGTTTTCTCGATGAACACTCTCACTCAATTAACTCCATCATTTATATCACTGCACATTTTTCACCAATTGAAACATTATAGAAACTTTTTTTTTTTTTAAACCCACCTTTTGTTATTATTCGTAAAACATTTTCAACCATTCACTGTATCTTACACCAAATTTGGTGCAGAAATATTTAGAATATTTCCTTTTTAAGTCAAAGTTTTTTGCACTCTAACCTTGATGCACCGAAAGGTCTAATTATTAAATATTTTAGTATAAATTTTATTTTTGTGGTTAATCTATTTCTTATAATCACTTTTTATTTGGTTGTAGAAGTATAATTTTTTTAATAATTTTGTTCAATAATCAATTTTAATAATAACTAAAAAATATTTTTAAAAAATATAATTTTTATATTCAACGTGAGTCTTATTTTGAAGATTTCAACAAAATATTTAACATGACAGAATTTCACAACATAATTAGTTTTACAAGTTTCATTACATAACAAATATATATTTAGATCAAAATAGAAATGAATCGCACTAAAAATAATGTAACGAACAATTTACACCAAATCTGATGTAACACTATTCATTGCACTAAAATAGTACAATTATTTAGTGTTTTCGTTGGAGTGCAAACTTTACTCCAAAAAATACAAAATTTAATATTTTGGTGTCTTGG